TGTGTTCGATGATATTCGATTTATCCTAGAAATTTACTTTTGTATTTTAAAATTTTCATAATTAGTCCACAAGAGAATTATATTTTCTTCCTATTCCAGGCGATTTGCATTTCGCCTCATATTTGTATGAAAATAACAAACAAAAATGAATGTATTATTCCGCTATAGTTCTTTCTTCTTGGTTATTTCTTTTTTAAATTTTGTATTTTGCTAGTGGTGGTGTCGTTTTGTCCAACAACTGAATATAACAATTTGGACAAATAAACTACAATAATCAGAATGAATTCTAACATCTGCATGATGTACAAAACTATTTGTGGTAGTTTGAAAAGATTTCATTTGCAAATAAAAATACAGTCGCTTTATAGAGTACACAAATATTTTCTAGTTTGAATTTTGGTGTCTCTTTTGGATTCGGTGCTTTTGATACTCTTTCTGCCAATCTTTCAAATATCACTTTTTTGCGATATATAAACTAATAATTTAATTCTGATTGCAAATTTTATTAGAGACACATAATCAGAACATTTCTTGCTTCGTTTTAAATTTTTTTTAGTCATAATATTTGGCCAAAACCAGAACTTGCAGCGCAGAGTACGGACAGAGAATAAAAATGTTATAACCGTGGAAATTTCAAAGCAGTTGAATAAAATCGCCAGCCGATGAGTTTCCAACTTGGCTGCGCTTGTAAAATTGATGGAAAAATAAATATATTCAGTTTCTATTAAAAAAATTTCGAATCTCCAGGCAGAATTGACGTTTTTGATGATTATGCCTGACAATGAGTGAGGCGGCGGTCGTCGCTGGTGGAAATAAAAACGAGCCGAGGAGCTTGCGATGATGTGAGATTTCAGAGAATCTTTCAAAGCACGAGAGAGGCTCCGATGTTGCGGTCGCTCTTGCCAGGGGAAAAGAATTTCAAATTGTAACGATTTTCTCTTTCTATCAAAAACGGTTAAACAGAACAAATCAGAGAACTTGTAGCTTGAAACAAATGGTTTTTCACTTTAATCTTTCTTGCTTTGATTTATCGCAATAAACATGTGATATTTTTTGTGAGTTTTTAACTCATGAATTAGAAATTAAATATCATTCATTTATATCAAAATATAATAGCAATTGAAAATTTTATCTCACTCCATAATTATAACGACAAATTGTATTATTTTCTAAAATTGATTGATTTGGTCATGGAACTTGGCACTACGAGTCTCATTGTCAGATGAAATTTTCATGTACTTTTGGTTCAGATCAGGTCTTATTCCGGCAGAATGCCTTAATTCTTTGCAAACTTGCAGCTCCAGATGCAAATCATGGAACTTTTTCCGGTCGCTTAGGAGTTTGCTTAACTCTTTAAATATTGAAATTGTAAATAAATCATTAGAGAATTAGTTGCTTTTTTCGGTCTGATCTGGTGTCAACGCAGATTTCTCTTGTTACATCCTTTGGTGTTTTATAATTATTATCGTTCAATCTTTCCTAAAATTTTGAAATCATCCCAGCTTTTTCTACGCAGAATTGCACAGCAATGCTCGATTCAAGTGCAAAAGCTGCTGGGATATGATGGTGATTTTGGTTGGAACAAATGAAATTGGGATTTTCCTCTTAAAATCTAAAAACGGTGCCAAATCGAAGGGCATAATATTATTTTTGTTTGCTTAACGCAGTATTTGTTTCGACTGAAAACCACACTCCATTTAAGTGGATAATTTATACTCTGGACTAGTTTGGACTGGAAGTTTGGAAATCGTCAAGTCGGTAACTAAAACGTCATAAATTAAAATTTTGCGTTTACTCGTAAATCGGATCCTTATTTTAGTTGTCAAGAAATTTTTAATGATGCACTGGGTAAGAAGTCGGTCCAAGTTTTACTCGCAATTAGAAAAACTCCAAATTGCATTTCTTCTCTTTTGTGGCTTAACTAATGAAATTCATAATATTGAATTTATCGACGAAGCATTTGCGCAGAGAATGCCTGGTGATGCATAATTTGGAACTAATTTGTCAATGCAAGAATTCTCTCACCTTTTTTGACAGTTTTTTATTATTATTGTTGATTTTATGCAAACTAAAATTAAAAGCTCGAGACCTGCGCTACTAATAATAAATCACAGTTTTTTACGCTTTTTTGATCAGAAATCGGTGCTAAATTGCTCATCTTACATTAAATTTAGTTCACAGCTAGAAGTAGTTCATCTTTCTTCAAGACTTCTGCACACTTTGTTGCAAATTCCTATCACATTGATTTTTTTCCTTCATTTCTTTCAAAGTTCAACTATTTGTGTTTGATCGCACAGTGATTGAAACAATTTTGAGTACAATTTTATGATTGAATTTTTTAGAATCGCTTCAAAAATCCAAATCGGATCACAACTTTAAAATTCAATTCGTGTGGAATCACTTTGGAAAAAAATCAGATTTTCAGCTTTTAAATGAGACAAATTGCCTTTCTCCAAGTTTAATCTTTGATTTTAGTAAAATATGCTCACTGTGGCTGATAAGGTGTTTTTTTATCTCTCAAGTTTAAGCAAAATCTTTGCTAGTGCTGGTATATTTCAAACAAATCCACACCCCCTACTCATCAATTGTTTTTCTTTCGGGGAAAACTTTTTGCATCAATTTCGACGGTAAATTATAATATTTTTGCCATCATAATCATTCTTTGTTCTCTCATTACGTAATCAGAACAACTGAAATCGTCATAAAATTAGCCTAGTTCATTCATAGTAATATTCTAAAGATAAAATAACGACGTGATCAAATTTATTATAAATATATCAACGTAGGTTGTTTTGTTCCGATTAACAAGGGCCAGTCCGGGCATGAATAAATTCAACTGCAGCTCCGTTATCATTTTCATTTGCCGCATTTCCCCCCTTAAATATTGTATTAAATCGTAGACCCACTTGTGATTATGTGAGGGGCACAATTTTCTTTTCCACACAAAATGATTTGATTTGCAGATCGGTTTTCGCACTTTCATTTTTTATGCTTTCGATTTTGCATAAAATAAATTTACCGCTTTTTGAACAATAAATTAAAAAGCACTTTGTAATTGCCTAAAAGCAAATCACTTGCTTTTTTACGTTGATTTCACGGAGCTGCATGTTCCTTTTTTATATTTTGCATGAATAATGGCGGTCGTTTGTTTATTTTTTCAAAAATGCCTTTTCAAAAATTCGAGGGCAAATTGTGCCAACTCTATAATCAGCTTAGAGTTTGCTTCTTTATCTGCTCACCAAAATTGTATTGCAAGTTTGATACTTTTTTGTTGTTTTCAAAATTAATTCAAAAAAATAAAATAATAATTAAAGATAACAATTGCAAGGCCATTCTATCTAAAAAAAAAAACTTCACATTGACGGAAACACAATTCAATTCAAAGGGCGGCGGACCAATCATTTTTTTTTTATCAAATTCAGATTCTTTTGGATTCTCTCTCCAATTTCCGACTTCTAAACAAGTTGCAACCCTTTTCCGACTTTCAGTTGCATTTATCACAGATAATTAGTTCGCAGTCTTCGCAGAATATCACATGAGCTGAAAATAAACTGTTTTTTCTATCACAAAATAAGCTCAAGGAAAATATTATCTCTCTATATAGAGCACGTGACTTCAACAACTTTCCTTTCGGAAACATAATTTATCCTGTCTGAACACAAAACGGCTCTAGCAATTATAATTATTTAGCAGTTTTCATTTTCTTCTTCTCAATAATAAAAAATAAAAATTATCTTCTAAATGATACCAATTTTGTCTCCAATAGAAAATAAACCAATAATAATTTGTACATCAGTACAAAATAAGACTTCACTGGTAAGAAAAAAACAATTGGCCCATTATCAATTTTTTTTCTGTAGGAATTTCTTTCCTTTCCTCTCGCCCGCCGCCCTATTCGGTTCTCCTTGGCGCCTCAAGCGATTCACCCTAACTTCTCCCCTAACCCCCCCCCCCCCTCCGCACAGGCCATCATCGGTCGAAAAAAGGACGATTTTCGGCGACCCAGGCCCCCCGGTTGACGGATCTCGAAGCGTCCGAGGTCAAAAGGCCGCGCCCCGTACTTCCGCCCTTCGCTCCTCGCGCCGTTCCGGCTCTGCTACCTGAACCCCGGTCCATGCAGACCACCACCCCGCCACCCCCACCCTTACGGTCCATGCAGACCACCACCCCGCCACCCCCACCCTTACGGTCCATGCAGACCACCACCCCGCCACCCCCACCCTTAGCAAGCAAAGCTCCAAAAATTACAAAAATATAAGAAAAGTGAAAGAAGTGTGGAGGAGTCGAACGTTCAGCCTTAAACGTCGTTGAAAAAAAGTTGTAAAAGTTGATTCGCGCGTCAGGGTTGGGCCCTGACTTTGAGAAGCCCAACTTGCCACTCCAGTTGGGCGGACTGCGGCGCGGGCACCGACATCCGCCACTCGCAGTCCTCGGACGCATTTCAGAATTTACTTTAATTATGACGAAGGCTGATGAAAAAATACTGAGTTCGACCCAAATTAAAATTACGTGTGATGAATTTAAGTGTCAAACAAAGAACCAATTCATGCAGGGATTAAACCAACTATAGAGATTATTTACAAGCAAAATATAATGAAAAGGATGATATTTATTTTAATACTGAAATATTCAGTCTCAAATTTAAAAAAAAATCATGCATTTTTAATTCTACTATTCAGAATGACAGACACACTTTGCAAAGATCTAAAGAAAACTTTAGAGAATGAAACCAAGAAATGATGCACCCAATCCACCTAATTCCCATGCAGCCCTTGGCATGCGCAAGCAAAAAACGGAACCAAAAGCCCAACACCTGAAAAAGTCCCAGCTCGGAACATCGGCGAATGCAACGGAGCTTCGAAGGGGTTTTCCGAGGCCGCCCCCTCTTCCGCCAGATCCGCAACCCGCAGGCCTGGCATCGTCCCCATTCGCCTAGGCTAACGGAAGGCCCCCCTCGCCCCCCGCTTCTCACACCCCATCGCTTCGAAGAACGCCTGGTCACTTTGCGACGCAACCCGCTCGACACATTTATTTTTGTTCCTTTCATAATTTGGCAAATTTCTGCGAATTTTTTCACATTTTAACATTTAGCTCGAGCGGGTTATTTGTTCGTCTAGAATGTCCAACTTTTGCAAATGAACGTCACTTGAATACGCTTTGATGAATAATTTCTTTTCGGGACGCAGCAGCAATTTTGCTTTTATTGAAATTTGGTAAAGAAAACTTCACCAAGATCACATAAGTAGATAGATCGAAGTCCAAATTACTAAATGTATAAATAAAATGTAATCACGAAATATAATTTAATTTTCCTACAATTTTAAGAAACTGCACAAGCGATTCTCATTTGTGTCGCTCAATAGAACGATTCACAAATAAATAATTGATTTTTCACGGCAGTTTTGATTACATCGGAGAGTCTCGCAGATTTCCTGACGTCGAGTTGGCTGATCTCCCAGGTTCACTATTTCGCGAGCTCTGATAATTTGTACGAACCAATTTCAAAATCAATAAAAAAATCGCATTTAACGGAGGCAGGCGCCTGCGGATGGCCGAGTTTGGCAACCGGCACGTCAAATGTCAGGTTCTCAATAAATAAAAACGTATCACAGTCGATGCGAATAAATATTAATTAACAAAATGAAAACCAAATTTCAATAGACATAAAATGCTCGGTTTAATCCCGAGAGAAAATATCACAGCAGATCGATGGGTTCGAATTTGCGGCGCCTGTCCTGCCGCGTCGTTTTCGCTTTTCAGCCAAGAATAATTCTTTCAAAGTGACCAGGAGAACCGTCCGAAATTTGAGGCCGGACCAGCCACTCAACAACGCCCGGCGGAACCAAAACAACTTTGTGATAAATTGATGCTTGATTTTTAATAAAAGATTAACCCGAAAACACGAATAAAAGGTAAAATTGGGGGATAAACCAAAAAAGGGACACAGACCGATAAGACTCTTTACAAAAGGCACTAATTATTATTTTTCCTCTGAGCAATTTATTCGCACTGGGATTTCCAAATCGAGCGACACCTCTGCCTCCTTCCAAACAATTTCAGATGAAACGTTTAAAACGCATAATTCAGCGCCCGTGTGTTCGTTCGGCCGCGCTAATCACCCAATCAAGATCAGTCAGTCAAGCTCATTCTTGCATAAATCAGCGAGCAGCACGTTTGCTCATCAAACAACAATGAATTTGTTGGTATAAAGATTTTAATTTTTATATCAAAATAATTTGGTGTTTTTCCAATTTTGCTGATTTTTTTTTGTATTTTTTGCTCATGAAATAGGGTCGCAGGCCTTGACCGAAACTGGTGGGGCAATTTTTTTTTCAAATAAAAACAATTTTCGCAACTAGAAAAACCCCGATCTTTTCATTTCCATGAAAATCTCATTCGAACGATAACGTTTCTCGCAGATGAAAATCACTTTTTTTCAGTATCTTCGCCGATATTTTAATTCAGACTTCATTTCAAAATGTGGGATTTACAGACGCTGTAAATATTATTTTGATAATTTCTTTTTCTTCCTTCAAAACCCTTTCTTCTCTCTTTTCCAATTTAAAATTTTTGTTTTGACCGAAAAGAATAAATAATAATAGAAATGTTGGTAACAATTCCACACGTTTTGGAAGCTAAAAATCCTGAATAATCCAAAGTTCGATGTCAGACAAGCCATTGCATGTCTATAAATAAAATATGCAGACATTCAAGTCCAGCTCGAGGTGTTGTCGGAGGGCAGAGGCTCACTGCATGAAGCTAAAAGTAAAATAAATATTTCTCGCAGGTCTCGATCGTTCAGATTTTCGCAATTGGAGTGGTTCAGTCGCAGAGTTTGCAGAGGTCGGTACTTTTTTATTTCATTTTCACGCTTTTCGTAATTAACGATGATGTTCATGGCTTCAGTCTTGTTCAAACGTTTTTTGTTTCATAAATGTGTCTAGAATTTTATTTACTCGGCGTTTAGACTTTTTTTCAAATACTTCTCCTGAATTCGATGTACTAATTTTCCTGAAAGTTTTCTAATTGAATGGTTGTAATGAGCGGAGAATAGATTTTTAAACATAGCCTTTGGAGCATCAAGAACATTGAGCTCAAAATTATAAACGGTTGTAAATCAACATTTCATCAGAACATAACAACGCTCAGACTTTTTTTTTTAGTTTTCGATTGCATGAATATTTTCAGTTTGGAGTTTGATTTGTTTAATTATTTGGTATTTGGTTTTTTCATCTCTTGCTATTTTGTCCTACAATTTTTTTAACAATTGCTTGTTAAAGACGTGGACAGATAAACAACATTAAAAATAATAATCATTGTGACTTCTATTTTGATTTTCCTGTCGAGTTTTCAAAACTTTTTCCCATCTAAATGATGTATTAGGGCAGCATTTGCCTGATGAATCGATGAGACAATTCCATATTATTTTCAATTTTTGACCCAATTTGCAGAATTTTTGATGACTTAACAACTCTGATTTCGTTCTTATCGAATTATTTTCTCATTTTGTTTCTGCTCCAGCACTCAAGCAAAGAGCGCAGATTTGATTTATACGTAGATTCTCAGCAAACCATTTATTTTACGAAACTGCTGAGGTTTTCAATCGGAAGTTGAGTTTCAATCGCAGGTGAATAATTATTTATTATTTCCAGCATTAACCTGGATAATTAAAAGGTGACATTTTCAAATGCACCAATCTCACTATAAGTTCCTCTTTTGAATAATTTCAAGTTGTTTGCTAGCAATAATAAGCCATTTTTTCTCCATTCAACCCCTAATTATGTCTCTGTTAAAATGTATTTTCAGCTTTTTCTGTTCTTTTTGTGTACAGTTTTTTTGCTCTGTATTCATGACTGTATCGAATGGAGAATAAATAAATGAAGCACCTTCTTTTTCAAATTATAGGCGCATAATTTAATTGCTAATTAACTGGAATGCAATTTAGGAAAAAATCCTTTTTCACTCTTAATTCAACTCTCAAGAGACAATTAATTTTGATCGAATTGCATCAAATTTTAATAACGTTGGGAAATACTAATTTTTGCAATTCAAAAAAAAAGAGTTGAATACCAAAAAATTGCCAAACTTCTCAGTTTTCCATTGGCCGTATTGATCTCAAACGTGGCGCCTACGTTCAAGGCAATCCGACAAATTTCCAGCCTGAGGGAAAAGCAATTTTTTGCCTCACATGACAGAGTTGTTAGTCCCTTCGTCGAAATCAAACTCCACTGAATCAGGATTGACCTCTGCAAAACTGCGCAAGCAAACATAATACGCAAAAATAAAAAATAGACTCTGATAAACGTTTCCATTTTGACCATCTTAAATTAAATTTTTTAAATCTCTGTTCTGTTGTTCAAATTTTTTTTCTCTTCAACTCACGAAGCAATTCCCAGTTTTGGCCTAAACTAATTTTTTGGGACGCAATTTTTAAGTAGCATCAAATTAATTTTTGCAAATGAATCTAAATCCTAAAAACTGTTTTTAAACACAAACTATCAATAGTGGACGTTTTGAGAAATAAAAATTTCAATGGCAATTCCACTTCAAAAAGTTAATTTTCTGCTATTTTTTCTGTAAAAATATTTGTATTTCCAGGATTTAATGAGCTTCAAGCTCTTAACTCAATGCAAATAAAGTAAAACATGAAAAAAAAAAAATTATCAGCAAAGCCACTCCTTGAGTTAGAATGTAAATTTTCATAAACAATTAATAAGTGGCAAAGATTTTTTTCAATTACCGACTAGATCCATCAAAGATCTTTGGAATCCTTTAAAACTAACGCAGAGAAGAACATGAAATATACAAATCGAATGTTTTAACTTTTTCTTTGTCTTGGTTAAAAATGTAAAAAAAAATTGAATGTTCGCAATGATTTTGAACAGTTCTTTGATTTCCCAGACACATCGAAAGCAGTGTCAATGCATTATATTATATAATTTTCAGTAAATTTATTGGCATTAGCATAATTTGAAAGCCTATTCTACCTTCAATTGCCTATTTCATTTCTCTAAATCTCTCAATTTTTTGATCCATCATTAAATAAAAAGAATTAAAAAAAAAAAACTTTGGTTTGAATGAAGGCAAATTTTTTCAAAGACCACTTGTACTGTCGAGTATTACGTGTGCTAAATTTCGTTAACAAATAATTATAGTTTTTAAGAAATTCTTAACTTGATTCCAAGAACCTTCTCGTTGTTCAGTTGCTTTGCTTCAAATTATAAGACGCAACTAAAAATTCATTTTGATTAAAATTTCCCAAAATTTCATCGCAAGTCACTTCGGAGGTAAGTATTTACTATGGGCAAAAACATTCCAAATTAATTTGGAGATAATTCTATTAAAAAATTTAAAATTAAAGCCAAGCCAGGTAATTTTCAAGTCGATGCAGATAAAAAACGGCAAAATGTAAAATTAAGCTAGACCTCTAAAATGTCAGAATAAAAAAAAAAAAATCAAATTGTGTGACCGCAAGGGAGCCCTCGCCAGAGGTAGAGCTCAGCAAAACGCTCTTGACGGTTTCGGGTTTTGCTATAATCGAAACAAAAAGGTCTGTTGTTAAAAACTATGCGAATACGAAAAAAAGGAGGTTGTTGAAACGGAAAACAAAACCTCGCGAGAGACAGATTTGAAGTTGGTACTCACCGAGATTGGTTTGGGCGCCTCTCACGTGGACATCCATGACAGGGTTGATGGTTTTCATGAAGTGTAGGCTGAATCTGATGTTGTCCACAAGCAAAGCAGCTCTGCTGTGACGAGGAAGGTCTCTTGGTTGGGTTGGTCTGGAGCAGCAGTAGATTTTCTACAAAATAAATATAAATAAAGTAAATAAATTAAGTAAAAATATCATATACTTGAAATAATATTATGAAATAAATCAAATTTAAAAAATTTTCCCCTATTTTGAAGCTCGAAAGTAAATGAAGTATTGTAAATTCAGCTCTTGAAAAAAAAGGGATAAATCTTCTCTTACCAGCAAAGTGTCTTGATGCAAATCCCACAACCAGAGAGGGTTGAGAAGTCTGAATGTGCTGGATGAAGTCAATTGTTTGTTCTCTCTCTGGCTGCCCGCAGTGCCGAGTCCTGAGAAATCTTCAAGATGTTGTGTGTCTTCTGGTTGATGGCCAGCTTCGGAGAGCAAAACTCTGGCTTTAACTGCAACAAAATGCACAAAATTTAAAATCAGTTAAAATCTCCAGGCAGAAGAGGCAAAAATATAGAAGTTTGAAAAATAAATAAATAAATTGTCATAATTACACTGCGTTTTTAAATGAAATTATTAAGCAGACATTTAAAATTACTTTAATTTCCACTCACCAGAGGTGTCAAAGCACTGCGAATATTGAGTAAATTGCCTTTACGTGTTACATCGCTAATAGTTCATCTATAAGTTCATCTCTGCAAAAATTAAAACAGTTAATAATCTGCATTTATAGCCCTAATGAGAGGGGTGCAAGTACCTGCTGGGGCTGGATGGCCGTCACATTAGTGGTGGCCACGGTCGTACAAGGCCATGTTGGCCCCCGGCCTGAGGCAGAAGCCGATGGCCTGCTTGGCCTCATCGAAAGCATGGCGCTTGTTGGTTAGCCGATCTCCGGGCAAGATGTCATCCGGGTCAGGCTGCCAATGCTTCCTCTGCAATTCCAAGAAAATTTTTTAGAATTTAATCAGAAACAGTAAAAAAAGTTTCCTTACCTTTCTACGCTCCACCGGCTGCCCATTGGCTTGAAGGGCGCGAGGAGCCTGTGGGTAAAATTGAACAAAATTAGTCAATATTAATTCGGAGGGACAAATCCAAAAGAGTTTATTCACCTGAGAAACTGGTCTCACTTTGGTCTTCCTTCCACGCTTGTTCTTGGGGCCTTCTTTGACCACCTTGGGGTCATCAGAGGGGTCTGAAGGGCGCTTCCTGGCCCTCTTTGGGGGCTCGTACAGGCCGAGGGGGTCAATCTAAATCAGAACCAAAATTTAGTAAGATTTGAAATCTCCAGCAACGACAAAAGATGTTTTTACCTTGTTGACCTTGGCCCTGTTCCTGGTCACAACGCCAATGACCATCCCCAGAGCTGTAGCGGCAACAGAAGCGGCCACAGGTGCAGGAGCTGCGAGGGCAGGGGAGGCCACTTGTGCAGGGACAACCACCAATGCAGAGGCTGCGAGGGCAGGTGCAGCAACAGGGGCGGCCACAGGTGCAGGGATGGCCAAAGGTGCAGGGATTGCCACAGGTGCAGGGATGGCCAAAGGTGCAGGGATTGCCACAGGTGCAGGGATGGCCACAGGTGCAGGGATGGCCACAGGTACAAGGACTGCAGAGGCAGGAGCGTCAGCAGGGGTGTCGTCGCCTGCCGGAGAGGCTGGTGCCGGAGATGGCGGCGCGGACGGCGCAGGAGCCACTGCAGGGCCAAGATGGATGGCAGGGGTGGCCACGTCAAGGGCAATGAGCGCAGGCGCGGCAGCGAGGGCAGCATCAAAAACTGCTTTGACGATATGTGCGGCCACCGGGGCATCATCAGCAGGGGTGTCACTGCTGCTGGCAGAAGACGGGGCCGGAGACGTCGGTGCCAAGGGGTCAGCAGGGGCCGCAATGGCAGCGGCGGCCGCGTCAAGGGCTCTGCTAGGAGAAGGTGCAGGAGACGGCGGTGCCAAAGATGGTGGTGCAGGAGACGGCGGTGCCGGAGATGGTGGTGCTGGAGACGGCGAGGCTTCAGGGGTCGCAGCCACACTAGCAGGAGGTGAAGGGGCGGCGCCCATGAGAGCATCGGAGGCTTCAAAGATTTTGCTCAAATTGAGATTGGCCGCCCTGGCGGCAGCTCTGCTGGAGCTTCGGGTTCCTTTAGGGTAAGGACCAGTCGCCCTGGCCAGCTTCTTTGCTGGTTTGCTCTTCATCGGCCCAGGGGCGGCGTCCCCCGCAAAGGGGGCATCCAAAATCGGATACGGTCGTGGCAAAGGCGGCTCCATACTGAGTCTTTCACATAATTTTCTCAATTCTTCGTCAACACTTTTAATTCTGTCATGAAGGTACTCGGTTTGTCCAGCCGGAGTAAGCAAGCTCTAGAACACGATAAAACACAATTAAAACCGAATTTCCAAACTCAAAGTTTTTTAACTGTACAAACTGCGGGGAAAATTTATCATGGTAATCCCTTATCACAAGTTTTGAATAAATTTGAATAATTCAAATCATTTCACAAACGTTGCATGAAGTTAATTTCAGTCTGCAACTGACTTTGCATTCATTAAAAAGATGCAGTAAAGAGGAGATTTACATAAAATTGGCAGCTGAATCAGTTAAAACAATGTTTCTACAAATTGAACCCTCACCAGAGTCACCAGTGCGAGCTCTTGATCATTTGACTGCGCTGCAGCCGCACTCTTGCCCTTTGCAGCCTTCCTCGAAGGACCTGCCTCCTCTTCAGCAGGCCTTTTAGTTCCACGGCTTGATTGGCCCTGAAACACACAATTCAAAATTCATCATAAGTCGGAATTAAAATGAAATACAATTTTTTTACTTCATTTATGTTTTACATATAAAATAATGAGACAAAAATTAGGCAAAAAAAAAAGAAAAAGTTATATTTAAAAATAGTGAAACAAGAAACCACTCAGTGGAGTATGAATGAAAAATAACCACTTACGGAACTGCTGCTCTCAGGCTGAGGGCACGCCTGATTCTTGGGCTTGGGCTTGTAGGGGCGCTTGTAAGGTGTCCCATCTCTTTCCGCCTTTTCTCGCGCTTTGTCAACCCTCTGCATGTATCGTCTCTGCTCCTGCAACGTGAATGACAAAAATAAATTAAACCAGCAATCAAAATGATTCAAAACACAAAAAATAGCAAATAATCTCAAGCAAAAAGTGAAATTAAAAAGGGAATTGTGAACATCCACTTGGTGTTAAGTTTCAAATAAAGAGTTAGTGTCATTATTAAATTTGCTGCACGAACCAATGACTTTCCAGCGCCATCTGCGTCGTAGTAGTCAGGGGGCTCCTTGCTGGGCGGGGGGAGCGCAAGCTCTGGGTGGCGAGAGAGGTTCAGGACTTGTTCTCGCAAATCCTTCAACTTGTCGGACAGTTCGGGCAGACCATCAGCATTGACGCAGGAGTGAGGGTGCATCTAAAAATGAGGAGAAGTTGAAACAAAATGTAGATTGATAATAACAAAAGAATCTTGGACTCACTCTCGATTGCAAGACTTCGGTGTCTGAGTCGGCGGATTTGACCTTTTCGAAGAGCTGCAACGTTGGAAAAATCAGATCAAAAGGCTCAAGAGTTAATAGCAAAAATATTTACCGTGTCCATGACAAACTGCGAGATGCCACCTTCGGTCTTGATCAATTCAAGAGCCTTTTGGTACTCGGTTGGGTCGGCGCCCATTTTCTCCTACGTAACACAAGAGGTTGAATTTCAATTTTAATTCAAAACTGAAGTTTGCTTGATTTGCGAGCAAATTTAATGCAGAGTGAATTGAAAACAAAATAGATCATGAGAAATGATGATTTTGTTGTCGTATAATGTTTTCATGATTAAAAAAGGTTCACCTCTGAGACGGAAATTTTGCTAATACAGAATTGTCAAAAAACTTATTCAATTTCCAATTAGTCTAAAAATAAGAAAACGTAGTTTTTAAGTTTAACAACAATCAAGCAAAAAGCAAATATAATAATTTGGTTTAAAATACATAGATATTTAGATGAATTAATTTACATTTTTTCTTATTCTCCACTAATCAGTTTACAAATTAGTAGCGATTAACTTAAATTAATTAAATCAGAGCAATATTGAATGAAATTCAAATAAACTGCTATTAAATAAATTTCTAATTTAGTTTAAGTTGGATTATTCATAATGGGTGTTCAGAAGGAAAGAAATATTAGTTGTTTTCTTACACAATAAAGAACTCATGTAACCTGATGAATAAAAGTTAGCCAACTTTGATTTCAAATCACCATATTGTTTGATCCACACGGCTATATGGTGACCTTTCAAGAGACAATATAAACCCCCTCCAGAAAAATCGAGTTACAACTTTTTCATATAATTTCTTTTTTTTACTTTAATTGCAATGAAATTCTATTTCATTTTGCAAATGTTGCGATCAACTTTTAATTGACTCCGGCTCATAAATTATATCCGATTAATAAAATCATTTCATTCTTGACTTGCAAATAAAATGGATTATACACTCTGCAAAAAAACTGATGACACTGGCCCAAGAGCCGACAAAAAAAGGTGTAATTTCAAAACTACCTTGTCGGAGACGCCGTGTTTTGTGGCCAGCTCGAGCACGTACTGGTGCAGCTGTTCATCAGTGGAGTTGCAGAATCCACCGTTGTTTCCGCAGGAGTTGGCAACGATCTCGCAGAAAAGCCACTGCTTCTGGAAGGGCCCCGGGATGTGCTGAAAGACGGCGAGGGCGAGGGCGACCTTCGGAGTGACTTGGGTGACGTCGCGCAGCCACCGCAGCAGCAGTTCGAGCTGAGCGCGTTCGTTGTGTCCGGTCACAAGGGCGGTCGCCCACTCGAGCCACATGTTGAACTTGACTTGAGGTTCGCCAGTGCGGACGGTGCGCCACATTTTAACGACGATGAAATTGAGGAGAGCCTCGCGCCACAGCCCAACGGAATCCTGCAAAAGGGCATATTTAGAAGAAAAAAAGATTGCAAATTGAAAATGCGCACCTGTTGTTCGGTCAACAAGAAGGACACAAGAGTCGCAATCTCGTCTTGGCTGCATTCATACAGAATTCTCTTCATCTTAAACAAAGCCGGAGGCGGAATCTTTGTGTCCCTGTCGAAATACATGTTGGACTGGACTGAAAAAAGAAATTCTCGATTTGAAATGACGCCAAATACAAAAGGCATAAGAAATGAAAGACGCAACAATTGATGAAAAAAAAATCTCATTTGTCTGCGATTTCAAACAAAAAAGTTTAAACTCATTCACCAGTTGTGTAATTCAACGCCATTGGTTCCTCCGACGGCCCTATATTTTAGAAAGATATCGTTCGTCGTGTTTTTGTAACTCTGAATTGTAAAAATAGAATATAAGTGTTTCTTAAAATTGCCGAATTCCTCCCAACACGCGCTCAGCTGCATGCAAAAGGCAACAAAAAGCTTCTATTCTCTTCTATTTGCGCGCATCCGGTTTGCTGGGCCGATATAAATGCGAAAGAGAAGTTGTTTGTCTCGCGCGAGAGGCGACTTGGGAGAGGAAAAAGTAATTAAAATTCCGAGTTGGCTCGATGGCGGCGGCGGCGGCTGAACAACACAAAAGCACAAGAACTTGGTGCGCGCGGTCTAAGTAAACAAATTTTCGCTTCTCCTTTTGTGAGAAAATGTTGTTGCCAGCCGAGTCAGGAGACTTGAACGCGCGCCAGCTGCAATCCCGATTTTTTTGTCCATTTTTCCAAAGCAAATCGACAAACAAACAACAAGTCGGCGGCGCCGCGGAAAATTCTGGCGGCCGGAAAGAGCTTCAGATGCATCTCATTTTCCCTCAACTTTAACTGATCAAATTATACGGAATTATTTGGCACCAATGAAAATATGCAAGATTCAAATAGATTAAATCCGAGTTTGACCTTTAAATAGGGTTAACCAAAATTTTGGTACAAAAGGAGAGTAATAGAAAAATGATTTAGTCTGCAATTTTTATGCAAAAATATATTTTTAAGGCCCCAGGTCATGGGGGTCAATAACCTACAGCGACTTTCCCTGGATGTCCAATGCATGGTTCGGTAGAAAAAGTAATTTGAAACACTTGTAGTCATTACAATTATTGTCGTATCTCTCTCAGAAACCGAGTTATCGATGATTGAAAATTAATTTCTATTGCCGAACAGAGATTTTCTCGCCTGTTTTTTAAAATTCACAAAGTTATCTTTTTAACTAAAAATAATGTCACTAGAAAATCAAGTATTTTGTTCTAAACACTTAGGGCTACATTTTTTCCTATGCCTAGAAAACAATTCGAGGAAGAGCTCCTTTTTGAAAATTGCATTCAAAAGTGAAATTTGTATTGTAGTGACCTTGACCTTTGACCTACGCAAAAGTTGACAATAGCAAAGTTGTTCAGCATAAAAAGTTACGTGCACAAGTGAAGAGAATATCTGAAATTTCCTGTTAGAAGCAAAGATATTCAATTTTTCTTGTCTTTACTAAAATCTGATTTCTTGGAAAAGCACATTTTCATGCGAAATTTTTATCAAAAGCCAAACGAAATGGCATGTTTTCCTTTTTGGGATTCAGCCCTTAAAACTATAATAAAAATTCTAACGGTAAGCGGAGCGAATAATTGGCACTTTCATTTTCTTGCGAATTCAGAACTAAAAGTAAGCGAGAAACGGATTGCTTTTCAAAACAGGACAAGGTGAAGAGGACACGGGCCTGCAAAAGGGTTGGTTGCCATAACCACCAACTTTGATTGAGCTGTCGGTGCAAAAATGAACTAATGGCCAGAGGCGGTCGAATTTTAGTTACGCATTTCTGCCAATAATGGGATTTAACTCAAATTTGTGTGATCTTGATTAAATACAAGTTTTTTATGTACTCACGTTATTGGCTTTTGACGAACAGAAGAGATTTTCAGATCAGGGCGATCAGGCCGGATCGTCGAAATGAGATTCACTTGAGTGAACAAAAGGCAAAAATCGCAGCTTTGTTTCTGGGCGTCTGAGCGGCTCAGAGGTTGCTTTGATACTGAGCTGGTGGTGCAGTGAGGCAGGTTGGGGCTGCGGCGACCTTGCTTGTGACAGCGGCCGCGACTCCCTCCCCTGCTTGTTTGTTTACTTAGCCGAGTCGAGTCCACGCAGTGTTGCCATTTTTACACCGCATTCCTCCTCTATTGTTTCCGCACCTCTGCTTGCGCTCTCTTCGCCCTTTGCTACAGAAAACTAAAACTTAAAACATGATTTCAGTCAATGTGTCAATTTTAATCCGACGATTTTCCAAAAAAACAAACCGCCATTTTCCAAGGATTTTTCCTGGAAAAATAAAATTAAATTGGAAAATTAATTTATTTACAAACCCTTATACCATTTATTAATAAATGATATAAATTATATTTAAATTAAATAAATCAACACTAATAACCATAACGAAACCCCTAACTTATTTACTACTCAATGTCAATTATAATAAGACGATTTTCCAAAATAAAAAAACGCCCTTTTCCAAGGGTTTTTCAAGAAAAATAAAATTGCAGATTCCAGCTTGACAATCAAATCAAAATACAAAAGGAATAATTAAATGGGGATTTTTTTTCATAATTTCCAAATTAAAATTGAGCGCGTTCGGATTTTGGATCAATTAATTTACTTTTGTTCTTCTTGCTTAATTCGTATAATTATATAATAATATATTACATTTATAATAAATTTTCTTTGAATTATGATTCACATTATAAAATATGTGTTAAAGAAAAATGTCACGTCTGGGCAAAGGCGGCGCTTTTCAACCGGATCTCTGCAAGGGTGCACCCCAGGGGTCAAAAGACGCTGGTCAAACCCATCACGACCATCGGACTGCCCGCCTGGCACCCGACCTCCGACACGAGCATCAACAAGCGCGAAGCGGCTCCACTTGATCCACGGCCGGCAGCTGCTGCCGGGGCACACGAGCAGGTGGTCATGATGCCCTTCGACATGCAACCTCGTTTTATTCAAGAGGTGAACCAGCGGCGCCAGCGACTTGGAAGCCGTGGAGCGCATCACCGAGCTCATCATTCGATTCAGATGATGACCCTCTGGGCCCCAAAAAACTGCCACCGTCCGGAGCAAGTTTAATGCCAGGCCAGGAAAGCCTTTTCTTTCAGGGCCGTCGAGCCCTGGAAGTACCTTGCGGACGCTCTGAAAACCTGCCCGGTGGAACAATTTCCCACCCTCTGCAAGGCCTACGTGTGGCAAAATTTGTGATAAAAGATAAGGGCAAAAGCAAGTCAACAGAGGCTCACTGCGGAGGGTGAGGATTTGTTCTCGGAAGCTCTGGCAAAATTCTTGCTAGTGGTCGTTCCATTTTCAAACAATAATTCCTTTCAACAATTCCTTTTTTTAAATAAATTGTCTTCAATAGTAGAATGAAACATTGAAATTGCAACAATGTGGAAAAATAAAGCAAGAGTAATTTAATGTATTTTTCTAATTTATTTGGAGCATGTTTTAATTATTTTATTGATTAATTTTCCACATTTTTAATTTGTTACAAATACATTGATTCATTCAATTTGATTCAATTTTTAAAAACAATTTATTAAAAAAAAAATGGAATTGTTGGAATGAAAAGAACCGGCACGACCACTAGCAAGAATCTTGTGAAACTTTTCCGAGATCAAGAAGACCCCATATCCTCCGAAGTGAGCCTCGGTTGACTAAGATTTTGCTCTTCTCACTTATCACAAATTCTGCCACAGATGGGCCTTGCACGGGCCGGGAAATTGTTCCACCGGGCAGGTTTTCAGAGCGTCCAGAAAATAATAATTTTTGTAGGAAAAAGAATCCTTTGGCAAGCTGCATTTGCTTTTTGGTCTCGGTCTGATCGGATGGGCCGGCGCTCCATGGCGCCGCTGGTGCTCCTCTTGAGCAAAACGAGGTCAGCGTATCGGAGGCATCATGACCACCTGCCTCCTTCTTGGCACAAAGGTGACCACCAGCCGAGCACACGCTCTGCCTCAATGTCATGAACGCCTCAATGACTTTCTTGAATAGACGAGCATGCAAGGATTTAGCAGCTCAGAGTATCAAGAAGCCTGAGTCCGAGGCTAGAAAGTTTTAATCACTCTTGTGCATTTGCTTAAATGTTTGCTTCACTTTTCTAATTTTGCAAAACTGTAATTTTTGACTGTACTGAAGGCGATCCAAATAGTTTAACCTGACCCGGGATCGATTAGCCCGGGCCAGATTAATTTAGCCTGGGCTAGGTTATTAGGATTTGGATAAGCTTCATTGTCCGCAAGCGATTTCTTAAATACAATTTAAACGATTTAATGCATATGGTTCAAAAAATGATTTTATGAATTTAAATTTGAATTATTGTTTATATTAGAAGTGAAAGTGAGAAAAATTCAACGAGGAGCAGAGCAAATATTGCACAAGTTCATATTATTGATTTTAAAACTTTGAATTTAATCGCTCTTCAGAATTTTATGTACTCCATGCGTATGCAGAATTAAGTCAATTTTGAATTACATTGTTTCTTTTAATTGTATCTAATTTTAAATATATGCAACAGGAAATTTTTTATCAGATCGTTTAATGGCAAAAAACAATTTCGACATTTTATAATTTTTACTGAATTATATATTAGAAAGAATTTGAATTAAAATCTGTCATTATGAGCTACTTTCTTTAAAAGAATATTGAGCACCATTGAATTTTTAATCGCATTTTCAGATTCGCCAGACCGAAAGCGCAAATAAAATGAATACAAATTTGCAATTAAAAAGGATCGCATTGATGTCATTTGATATATGCGTGGAAGAGTTTCGATTTAAGAATTCTCTCAATCAGTGGTTCCTCTGTGGCGAAAAGACGAGGAAGAATATTGGGAGAGGGGAGAATGCATGGTCGTTGCACACGATTTTGCAGCGCAGTGTTGAATGACGCGTCGATGCAAGCGCACGCACGGTACATAATAAGTGTTTTGACGACGAGACTCTCCAACTTCTCCAAGTCGAGTTTTGAGTGATCTGCAACTGATGAAATGGCGGGAGAAGATCGCCGATTCAGGTAGGATTTCCAACAGGAACGGAACTCCCGGGAGTCCCGGGAGGCGGCAGCGAATTTGTCCCGATAAATGGAAGTGGGAGGAAGCCAAGGCAAAGAAATTTTCCCGAAACACGACCTGGGAGCGGGCGGGAAAAGGAAAATTTTCCCGGGAACTGGACTCGATCCTCGGGCGCAAAATTGACAAATGTCAAAAAAAGAATCGCAGAGGAACCCGCGGGGCCCCAAAATAGACTTTGGTTCAGGAAAAATTGCTCTCTCTCTCGCGCTCAAAAATTTCTCTTTTTATTAATTTATTCAAGAGGAATTTTCGCTTTAGATTTTAAAACCGATTGAAGCATAAATTAATTGAATTATAAATTAAAAAAGTGACAGAAATTTGCTAAAGTAGAATTTCAATTCGGCTTTTTCTCGATGGATGGTAACACAATCAATCCTGCTCTCGAATGACTCAACAAATCTACGTTTAAGAGAAATTAACACTTAACAGGCAATTGCAGGCAAAATAAATTATCATGTAAAATTAACAGCATATAAGCAATTAAACTAATATTTCGCGGCTCAAAAGCGTATTGCAGTCAAATTTTAATTCAAAGCCTCTTGCACAGTCTTGCTTTTCAACCGCGGACGCCAACGTGTAAAAGTGCCCAAATCAATTTATATATTTTTGTGGTAGAAGTTCACGATCGAGGGTTGATTCATGGTGATTTGAATTTAAAATCGGCTTTTCCTCGATGGGTTTTTGTGAGTTGTTTATTGTTTTAGAAAAACAATATCCTGCTCTACATGTTTCGGCTGCGGGCTGCAGCCATAATTCATGAGCTGTGAAAACATTGTGACAAAAATTAGAACAAAAATTAATCATTTTTCTAAAAACATTTTTCTTTAAAATTAACAATTTTTCGTGAAAAAAGTATTTAAAGGTTGCATTTTACACAAAACAAGTTTTTAACTCAAAACTCTTGACAATGTGAAATTAAAAATTTGTTATAACAAATTAATATTTATAAAAATTTAGATCAGAAAAATTGAAGCGTGTTTTTTTGAGCGTACTTTTCTCGGCGGTGGTCTAGAGAAGACGAACTTATTCTTCCGTCGGATTTTCTGTTTTCAGGTAAAGGCTATTTTGTGGAAAAATGCATTGTATTTATTGGTCGCCACTGCTGTCTGCACATTTCTTTATTTTGTGCGCGGCCTAAGCTGATACCTGTGGGTGCGGATGGGTTTATTGCTCTTTTGTGCACTTCTGCAGTAGGCGCCGCGGCACTCTTTTATCTTTCTCCTGTTTTCTTCCGGCCAGCGAAGGGCTGTTGCCGCGACTGGTTTTCTTCTCTTCCCTCTCGTCAAAATTTTTGTGTTAAAAAATTCTTTTGTGTAACCTTTAAATAATTTTTTCACGAAAAATTGTTAATTTGAAAGAAAAATATTTTTACAAAATTGATTGTTGTACTAATTTTAGTCTAAATAATTTCACAACTCATGAATTAAGGCTGCAGCTCGCAGCCGAAACATGTAGAGCAGGATATTGTTTTTCTGAAACAATAAACAACACACAAAAAACCCATCAAGGAAAAGCCGATTTTAAATTCAAATCACCATGAAATTTATAAAAAAATGCACACATGGCAAGCTAGCATCATCTTTAAAAATTATCTAGATATAACGGTATTTTCTAAATTTGCTTTGCCATTGGTTTTGATTATTTCTCTTCAAAGCAGCGATTTGCCTAAACATTCTAAACTCCCATTGCTTTAGCACCTCCTTGTTGTCGAAGTGATTTCTCTTTCGCCGACATGACTCTGCATCACACAGCCGCATTCAAATTCCACTGTGATTAAATAGTTCCACCTCTAATTAGCATAACGAGGAAAATTATATTTCTTTTGTGATTGATCTTTGATTGATATTTTACATAGAAGAATGGAAAATTAGAATAAATTTTGCCACTTCAATCATTAGAACAAAAGAGATTATGAAAATAATTAAAACAAAACCACCAACCTTATTTCCAGTTTGTAGGAAAATGTTTGGAGGCGGTGTTTTTTTTATTTTCATATTGCTCAAAAATATCTTTTTCTTATCCATTCGGTATCTCTGACCAATTGGATCGAACACATGTAGAGGGAACGATTTGATGTTAAATTGTTAAATAAGTTAGAGTCCCGAGACCAATTCGTTGCTCTTCTTCTTATGAGTGGAGTTGAAATGTTGCAGAATAAAAAGGAAAAAAAAATGAATTCACCTTGATGTTCCTTCCAGCTTATAGAAAAGTATTCCACAATTAAACTCCTCAATGCAATTTAATAGTAAAAGGATTTTGTATTCAACGCTTTTTGCGTCCAACTGGGGTGCAAAGCGCAAAGTCTCAACACGAAATCCTGCGGTCCTTGGCCGACTTTCAACCCTTCACTCGCAGTCCCAGCACGAGAAATCGTTCAGGTTCCCCCCAAAAAAATCCGCTTGGAGCGGGAATCGAACCCACAATCTCCGGGATTGAGGGCAAGCGCACGCTCCACTGGGGACGACTTTAGAAGGATTAGGCAACTCGCGCAACGGAGATGTCGCGCGGGTTGCCTACTTCTCTATGTTCTGCGATCAGGCGACTATTAGCTCCATCAAGAGCATTAATTTGACCACAATACCGTGACTTTTAAAATTCAATCTTACAACTGCGAAATTTTACTTTGCTCCTTGTGCCCGTCTATTAATATCGTCTTTCAAACATTAGCTGGATTTTCAATTCAAATATTACTTAAAAAATAAATTTATACTTTTTTGTCTTTTATTGTAAAACGTGTTATTAAATTTATTTTGAAATTTGATTATAATCATCGTTCGAACATGATTAATTAACTTCATAATAGAATTTCTCCTCCACTATATTAAATTAATTTTTTGTTAATCTTTGAATTATTAAATTTAATGCTACCTGGGGAGGATATAGAGCAAAAGCAGTATTTCAACTTTGGATAACAATTTAATCAGATCGTGCTCAAAAATGAGTCCCGATATCATTTCGAAGGCAGAAATGGTAGCTGCGGCGATGCCCACCTTTTAGCCAACGAATCCCGCCTTCCGCAAATTGAGCCGCGAAAACCCAAAAATCGCTTTATCACAAAACTGTTCATTGTTATTAATTCTTCTCGGTCAATAACAAAAAAAAAATCGAAAAAAGAAAAGAAAAGGTTTACAACTAGCATGTTTCTGCTTAACGCCCTACATCAAAAAACAAATCAATCAAATTTTAGCCAAAATTATATAACATATATAAGAATTGGAATTGGTACCAGCAAAACAAAGAGAAAAAAAAGAATGAATACTCAATAACATGTTCAAATTCTTGTATTGTATTTTTTAATATTTGGATTTACTATAATTTACTATATTTTATAACGAAATTTAAAATTAATTAATTGTCATTTTGTGTACAAAGATTTTTATATTGACGTTATATATTTATGTTTGATGACTGCAAGCAATAAATATTTTATGGATGCACCTAGAGTATTGCTGAAATATTTCTAATTTTTTGGATTTTTTTGTAGGTAAAATCGGATAAAATAATAAAGGGCTCGGCAGATGGCTTTAAATATATTTTGGCAATCTGCTAGAATAGATCAATAGATCGGAAGTGAATGGTTTTAATTGGCAAACAGACAGATTGTTTCAAGTAATTGAAATGATAAACATTAAAGGGGAAAATATTTCATGATCATTTTCTTAAAAAAAATATTCATTTCAAATATGAGGAACGAATAAATTTAATAAAATTTTAAAATATTCATTATTGTTTTTTCTTACCTTTTTAGGAACAAAATTGAGAGGGAAATAAATGATATAAAATGCCAAAGATATTGCCACTTTTTAATCTTATTAGTTTGGCATGCTGTCAACCCTTTTCAATGAAAAAACGAGAAATGTAAAGAAAATATATCAAACTTACATTGAATTCTTCGTGTCATTAGATTAATGATTTATAAACAAGCGAAGCAGACAGAAAAGGATCTTTGGAAATTCTAGCAAGTTGTAGAGTTTTTCGCGTTGAAAACTGAAATTCAGAAGAAATGTGAGTGTTAAAGCAAAATATGCAGGTAGTTTTTTCGTAAAAGGGTACCAAGAAATATTATTTTCAATCAGAGGAATTATTTACGGGACAAGAGTGTTGGCAAAGGCGCCGACACTTTAGTATAATAGGAAAGCGAGAGTATCCTTTCGGTGCAAGCGCATTGCACTCATTATTTCATAAAGAATATAAGGTCTGAACGCACTGAGAGACGGTGCGGAGCGCTCGACGGTTACCAAGGTCGGACCTAAAAATCGCACCGGCTGTGTTTCGCACCGCACCAAAATGCACCAGAGCCGCAATCCTATTTAATTAAACCTAGTTGGCCTAAATGCGAGCACGATTGCAAATTTTCCTGAACCACGCAGCTGCACCAGCCGAAGATTTAGTTCGTTTAAAAATTCGAGCCAGTCGAAGAGCCTCATGCGAGTCATGCGATTGCAAATATTTTCCCTTTTCAAGCGCCATTGCTATAATCAGTAATTATTTTTGAAGATTTTTTAGAAATTTAAAATACCCCAAGAATAAATCAAGAATAAAACTTAAATCATTGAAGACCAATTCAAAGTGCTTGATAAAGTTGCAGTCAGCTTGTTAATTTTGCGGAAGAAAATATAAAATAATTTGTATAAGTTGGCTTACAATTTGTTTTTATATAGAAACACAAGCAATTTCTCTAAAAGCCAAAGTAACCAGACCATCGCGATTTCAGGCAAATTCCTGATCAGATTGGAGCAAATTGCTGCTGCCTTCATTCTGGCGTTTTCCGATTCGGGCATTTTCCAAGCAAATAAGCGCCAGCCAACACCTGTCGCCATTATTTGGTTTATTAACTTCGAGCAACTTACTGAACATCCGCAGGAAAAATTTCCACCGCCGCTGCTGTTCAACCAAGCCGACGATAAAATTGAACAGTCCGGCCGGACACCTCCATTTCTCGTAAAAAAGGATTTAATTGTAAATTATTATTTTATCAAATTGAAAATTAAATGATTTAAAAGTTTGGCGATGAGCACTCCAAAAGAGCGCCGAGCTTTGATTCGAAGAGCGCGAGACCTTTTTAGCAAGGAGCGAATAGAAAAAGAGCCCCTTTTATGCTCTTTCCAATTTTCTGAATGTGACCCTTTTTCCTTCTCACGAAAGGCGATCACGGCAAGGTGAAAAATGAAAGTGTGGCTAAAGGGGGATATTTTTTTAAATAACCGTGATTCTTTTTACAAACTTGCTCTCTCAAAGCAATTTCAGTAAACATTTTCGTATTTTTGCAATTTTTTAGGAGGCGAAATTCTGCAGCTGCGTCATCATCTTCATCTGTCCCCTCGAAGAAGAAAAAACACAAGTCTGCTAATTATTATTTTAGGTTGGATTCTATTTTAAATAATATAATTTAAATTACTTGAACAGAGAATGCAGCTCAGAAGAAGCTCTTGCAGTCACAACGTTGTCGTCAGTATTCCCTCAAGAAATCCTTCATCCCTTCCCTGACGACGACGACAATGATGATGATGAACCATTGCCATATTTTAGCAGTGCAAACGTCAAGTACGTTCTAATTCTATTTAATTGCCCATCAATTGTAAGTTTTCTCAAAAGATTATTCGATGGCAACGGCCGAGCCTGTGGAATCGAAGAAGTGGAGCAAGGTGTGATTGTGCGGATGTCTGGTGTCTTGCGAGAGTACAATGCCACCACAACGAGCGCCACGGACGGTAAGCTAAAACAAAACAAACGCTTTTTTACTTCATATTTATGAGAGCTGTGTCCTCCCAAGTTTTGTTGAAAAATAATTTTTCCTTTTTTAATATTATGATTTATTTGTGTTACTTGAGCCATTTAATTAATATCTTTAGCATTCAAATAAAGCATTTTTTTTTATAAATTTGCCAACGTAAAAATGAAAAACCTTGATTTTAGGTTTCCCTCTCGAGCAGTCTGGCGAAATCATAGAATGGTTTATACATGGCCTTGATTCTTCTGAGACTTTTTTATGCGTGCAAACTCAGCACGGAAATTACAAAATCCTCTCGTTCGACAAAGAGACTGAACCAAGCGTCAAGAAGACTCTCGACAAGATTTTCTGGACAAATCACTTCTTAAGATCATTGATCGATAAGAGCGGGGAAACTCTAGAAGAAATTGTTAACAACTTCCATGTACGTTTTAGAGTATAATTTTAAGACATGTCAACAAATTAAGGCAATTTCACATCAGCCCACAGGACCAATGGCTCACCTGGTCACTATGCCTACTCTGGAGGATTTCAAAGAGAACGCTCCATTTATCTTTCGTCATGTTGAGAGATACGCGCTGGACAAAAATGAAGATGGCAGCGATGATTATTATCTGCTGGAAAGGAGCAGCTTTCAGGAATTTTGCGTCTTGGCTGAAATAGAGTTGAAACCAAAAGGCAAGAAGGAAGCACCAATGGGCACCAAACTCACCAACACTCCATTGGTCCGAGAGGTTTTCTCGATGGCGTTTGAATACATGAAAGATTTTAAAGATATGCCTGAAGAGCAAGAGGAAGTTAGTATTGATCTTACTTTTTTTATTTCTCTTACAGATTTATGATCATAAATTATTTTTGATCAATTTTAATAATTCTGCAATTGCCAAAGGTGAAAATAAATTATTATTGCATCACTTTTATTTTGTATCGTGGTGTGAATGCATTTCTTTGACTTAAACTGTAGCAACAAAATAAAACAATCTTGCAGGTTTTTGACAAAGTGAGCAACGAAAACAGAGACTGCTCCTTGAAGTTCCAAGGCATTGTTTCGTTTATTCACGAAACGCCGCTTCGAGTTGAAGAAAGAATGCTAAAAGCCCCTTATGTTGGACTTATCATCTACCAAGATGAGGATGTCTACCATGTCCAGGTGCTCATGTAAGAAACTCAAAGTTATCACTTTATATAATATGGTAATTCCTTGCTGTCAATGTCAATTTCAGGAGAAGCTCAGAATCATATTTGAAAGGATTTGCACAGAAAAATGAGTATTTTGGGACGAATGTGTGTTTGGATGTCCATGAATCACAAATATGGGGACAGCCACAGATTCAACACAAATCGGATTGCGACGAAAATAGTAGCACAAATGGAACAAGTTTCTACCAGATGAGGTAATTTTATCTGCTGCACTACTGATTTTTTTTTTTTTATCTGAAAATAATACCTTTTAAACCATGTGCGTATATTTAGACTTGATGATAAGAGCGGCGCTTTCACAAGTCTGGGACCGACAATCGGCAATTCATGTGACTTGTGTGAAAAGAAGGAAAAGACAAGATATGAGCAGTTGGTCCAGATGGACGAGAACAACGTGAGACACATCAAAAATATGAACGTTATTTATTGAAATTAATTAAAATTAAATTTTTATTTAGTTTTCCTTCGAGTATAGAGGAAACTCTTACTGCATTGGCTCATTTGCTTTCACTACCAGACTTGTGCCTCCCATCCCTGACCCATTGCCAGCCTTGAAGGTTTAATTGTCTTATTTAAATTAATTATTGATTGAATTTTGAAAATGCCAATTAATATTTTTTTAGCATTGTTACGACCCTATTGTTTGTCCCGAGTGGTACCGAGTTGCCAAAAGTCAGACTTTGGAGACAAAACATTATGTCCTGGGCGTGTGTCAAATATTGGAAATCTCAGCAGGCACAGCAGCCACAAGTGATGCTAAAGATGTTAGACTGAAAGTTAGGGTCTATCGAAGGCCGAGTGACACTCGATTGCCTTTTCGAGATCAAACTTGTCCTCACGAGTTGTACCACACAGACGAGGGTAATTCCAATTAATTCATAGTGTTTCTCCATTTTAATTTGTTTTTCTCGTTTAAGTTCAAGAAATATCAGCAAGTGAGATCATCGGGCCAGCTTATGTGGCTTACGAAAAACGTTTGACTACAGAAAGACATAAGTGGATTCAGGCCGGTGACAACAGATTTTGCTTCTCTCAAAAGTACTCGTTGGGCTCCAACAAGCTTTCTGACGTTCCCCACGAAGCTAGGAATTGCATCGGCCACATGGACCCAAAGGTAGAAATACAAATTTTGAGACACTTTCATTGTAAAAAATCTTCCTTGACTGGCTTAAAATTAGACAAAGAATCCCGTTGAACCACCGATACACAAAGTGCCGGCTGAGAAGCTAAAAACGATGGATTTGTTTGCTGGCTGTGGAGGTCTCTCGCTTGGTTTACACGAGGCAGGCTTGTGTGAGAGCAAATGGGCTGTCGAGTGCGACGAACATGCCGCCCAAGCCTATAGCAAAAACTTCAAAGACGCGACAGTTTACGTTGATGATGTGAATTTGGTGTTAGCCAACATGATGGAGGTGAAACTAATACAAAAAAATAAATTAAAAACGCCAATTTTTTAATAACTTGATATTCTCAGGAGAAGAATCAAAATAACAAAGGACAGGCTTACGCCAAAAAGGGTGAGGTGGGCATGGTTATAGGAGGGCCACCCTGCCAAGGGTTTTCTGTGATGAATCGGTACCCCCAAGGCGAAGCAGCATTGTTTAAGGTACTTTCTCAGTAAAATCAAAACAGTCCTTTCTTTTTTTGATAAAAAATTGATAAATATCTTTTATGTCAACATTTTTGACATAATTTAAGTAATAACCATCCATAATCATTTAGCAATTAATTTAATTTGTATTTGCCCACTTTTTTGCTTGTATAATGGTTATGCAACTTGAGCGACACTATTGTTGCGCCGGTTGCCTACTTTCACAATCGTCCAACTATTAGGCCAATAAATGAATTTATTTGACCTAAACACTTTAAATTTTTGCATTTAATATTACAATTGCGGAAACTTAACTTCTTAAATGGGTGCGCTTAACAATTTTGCGCTCGCGCTCATTGTGCATTTCCTGAGTTTCTCAGATTTATAAAATTCTATTAAAAGAGATTATTCTAAAAAACCAGTTTTTCTGTATTTTTAATTGATATTATTGGAAAGGGATTTCTTTAAACTTGCTGAGCGCACTGAGCTCGCACTCCGCTCAAAAGCGCAGAGCGATACGTGCGCTCTGCCCATCCTTCCTTCTTAATTATTCTTGACACCGGCATTAAAATGTTGATTGCATTTTAGATATTCATTTAAAATAATATGTATATCTCTTTTATGATATAAATTTACTGTGAATAATAATTACCAATAACCAACTTAGCAATTGAACTCTTTCATTTGGCGCCTACATTGCTTCTTGAAAAATATTTTAGGTCAATTAATGATAACTAACTAAAATAACCCTGGCGAAAATGTCTAAGAACTTTGTTTTGACCTGTGATTCTTGAAAATTTCCTACCTAAAAAAAATCAGATACAGCCAAGAGATGCGCCATGTCTTTTTGTTTTAGAAAACAGATTTTCAAAATTGACAAATTTCATCTTCTGAGTCATATTCAGTAGAATTTATTGTGACCAGTAAAAATTCAAACGACTAGAAAAAATTGAACGTTAGTTTTCATCAGTTTTCATTTACTATAAAATAAATTCACACTCAAAGTACCGAACCAAAATATTATTTGCTTAAGAGTTAAAGATCGAGTCTAATTGTTTGACAGATTATTCCTAGCTACTTTTGCGAAAGGTAATCATTAAATTAATGAGGCCCAGTCTTTTCACGAGTAAATAAATTTTGAAGCAACGCTTCTTTAAAAATTTTGTGAATTTATAATGAAATATTTTTGTGTGAATAAATTGCAGAATTCTTCGGTGTCTACTTTCTGCAGCGCCATTGACATTTTGAAGCCAAAGTTCTTTATTTTTGAAAACGTCAAGAACTTTGCCTTCGCTCACAAGGGTTCATATCTGAAAACCGTCATCGCCTGCTGCCTGAGGATGGGTTATCAAGTGCGATTTGGAATCCTGCAAGCAGGCGCATATGGAGTGCCGCAAGCTCGCCAAAGGTAAAAATGTCATTGTTGTAAGTTTTATACGAATGTAACAATACCGACTGCTTGCACTAGGATCATCATCCTTGGGGCTCTCCCTGGCAACAAGCTGCCTGATCTCCCCAAAATCACTCACGTTTTCAACCAAAGATCGCAGTCTCTTGTCCTTGATGGCCAGCTGGTATTTTCGAATAAAATATGTAAAATCTCGTTATATGTAACAAACCACTTTGTCAGATCGACGATGGAACCGCCATTATTGGCCAAAACTGCCGAGACGCACCAATTAGAACCATAAATGTGTTCGACGCAATATCCGACCTCCCAGACATCGAAAGCAAAGGGAAAGAGTCGAGCAATGACAAATACTCGCTCTGCAAAACCATCTTCCAAGAACAAGTAACCAAGAAATATTGCAGTTTCCTTAAATTGTTTTTCAATCCATTATTTTCCAGGCTCGAGAGCATTCAAAGCAACTGACCGAACACACAGTTAAACGCTTGTCACCTCTCAACGCACTTAGAGTGAGGTTGATTGCGAGTGGTGACGACTGGAGGTCCTGGCCAAACATCCAAACTTGCTTGCCAGATCGTTCAAAAGTAGAGCGACTGTAAGATTTTATAAAATTTTTTTTTCTTCTGATATAACATTGAGCTTCTTTCGCCTTGCAGCAAATACTTGAAAGGCGAAAATAGCACCAAAGTTTGCACTTGCCAGTTGAAGCCAAATAACAGGAAGAAAAATCCTGCATGTGGAAAATGTAAAAAACACAAGAAGACCATCATTTTGAGGTTCCTCCCTCTCTCAGCAGACAGGCATGCACAATGGCCTGGAGTGTTCGGAAGACCAAATATTTTTGGGCCATTCAAAACGACTGTGACCTCTCCGGTGCCGAGCGGGATGCAGGTGCTTTTACAAAATATATATGAATTTAAAATTTTAGAGATTCATTGTGCGTTTTTCCAACAGGGCACAGTGGTGCATCCAACGTACCACAGGTGCTTTTCAGTGCGTGAACACGCCCGTTCTCAGGGTTTTCCAGACCACTTTGAGTTCAGTGGAGCTCTGGAAGACAAATACTGCCAGGTAATAAACAATAATTGCTCCTTAATGAACCAAATTATTTTAAAGTCTTTTTGTCCACTTATATAAGAGCTGTTATCATTATTTGCTACTTTAAAATATTATGGCCAAGTCCAAACATTTTTCTGCTTTATATACAAATATCATCACAGATTTCAGTTTTATTTTCAGACTTCCTCGATTGCATGTAGTCTGTTGGGGCATTTTTATTAATATTTGTGTTTATTGTTTTAGATTGGCAATGCAGTTCCTCCACCTTTGGCTAAGAGGATTGGAATGTGTTTCCCGTGAATGGCCAACCAGGCTACCGATAGGCTGCCGTACAGTCTGATTAGTTTATATTTGTCCCATAGAAATAAATTATTTTGACACAACTTTTAATTTTAAATCTTTGAATAATGTTTTTCATTTTCAATTCGTAAGTACCTCAAGTTTGAAAATTTAATTAATTTTTCCCAATCTTTTTTAATTAAGCTAATTCCAGATTGATGCGAACACTTTTATGATGAAAACTGCCAGTTTTGAGAGATTAGTTGAATATTTCTTACTGTTTTTTTGCAAATTTTACCAATATGCGTACAGATCAGTGGCCAAATATGAAATGCACCTTTTGTGCCTCCGCAAACTCTTACCAGAGTGAAGGCAATCCGAAATTTCCTAAGCAATTAACCAAAGAAATAAAATAATTTAATTTTAGTTCTTCCTATCATATCAAATATCAAGGCGCTTTACATAACATTTGATCAGAAAATATTAAAAAAAAAAAGTATTACATAACTGATAAAATCCAAAATATAATTTAAGAAAATAAAAAATAAAACTATTAATTCCAAAAACAACTTTTTTACTATGTTATTTATTTATCTATATTTAGTTTGCACTTGGTAAAATTCATTTCAAAATTTTGTTTAAAAAAATTATTGATAATTTTATGTTATGGCTCATTTGGCGGCAAAATTTTTTGCCGGTGCACTGGATATTGTCTTATTCTGGATGCCCGCAAGGCCCTCTCGCATGTGTGACCTGCATCGGCGCCAACGTCAACCTGACCGCGAGGCCACTGCCGCCTTCAAGGCCCAGGCGACCACTCGTCGCAAACACCCCCGTCAGAAATGTAACGCAGACCACGACACAAGCACGGCCAAAAATGCGGTAAGTTTTTGAAAGAAAAATCATCTAAAAATTCCAATCAAATTTGGAAATTCTTGGAAATTCTGACAGTTGATTTGCTGAACATAATTTTTTTTGTACAATTTAATTGACGGAGTAGTTAACCGTACTTAGCCTTAAATAATTAAATAAAATTTAAATATTGTATAATAAACTTAATTATTGGCGCTTCAGAGACAATTAATTCGAAAGCGAACACGAGAAACGGGTCAGGCCCGACTAGATTGACGAGACAAAACTAGAATTGTTAATAAGATGGCTTGTCGTTTGTTTAATTGAATTAAATTAAGTTTAAATTAAATATTATTATTCCTAGTTCCTAGCCGAGCGTGGTTCGGCCGACCCCACTGCCGCGGGCGCCGCGCCCTCGTCTGCATCTCAGACGAGTGCAGCGCGAGAAGGGCATGGCGATTTTCATCAACTTTGATTCGCTGTAAAAATTAACCGGCTGCTTGTACTTGAAAAATTCCAACTCCATAATTAAACATGGTCCTTTGACGCCCACATTAAAAAATTATCAAACGAATCCGTCTTCGTTTTGTATTGTTTTCTGGCCTGTGAAAGTGTGAACACATGACCAAATAATGAAAAAGAATATCTTGGAAAAAATAAAATTTTCCTAATTGATAAAAATTAAAATCTTTGAATGTTAATTTAATCATAGTTTAAATTAAAAACGAGAATCAGTTCCAAGTTCCAAGTAAAAAACAATTAAATTTCACCCAGATTCATTTTCCGTTCGTTTTGATTGACTTGTTCGCAAATAAAATTTTTTAATTTAAAGAAATCAAAATATATACTAGCTTTGAATAGGAGTGGAGTTATTAACCTTTTAGCGAGATTTTCTGTAAATTTTAAAAATAGGGAAAAATATTTTGAAAATATAAACTTTAATAGGAAAAATGTTGCTAATTAAATTTCCTACAATTTCTTTCACGGACCTGATGACGACAGAATCTGTTTTAACTTTTATGTACGGATGGCTCAAAGTCAAAATATAAATTTTAGCATAGCATACAATTTTTTGAAAAAAGCCAATTGATTGTGAATTGTCATTTTGACTTTGGGACTCTAATTTCATCAAAAAATGTTGAGCTGTTTGAAAATGAGAAAATAACATAACAGAGACTCGGGAGTCTGGACTCGACTGCACTCGGAGATCAGAACAAATTTAATATAGCGATCGAATTAGACTAATTAGAGTAATTAAACCCACGTACCTGCAGTGGCTGCGGCCAAAGCGGGCCTGTCCGACTCCTCACGCGGCGTCCGCCGATTTCGCCGACATTTCAGGGCCGAATTCGACCTAAATCTTTGCCCCGGCCACACACGATGCACTTCTTGTAAACAATGGCAGTCCCAGTCATACATAACCAATCATAATTGGGCGTGTTCGATTGTTTTTTTATTTTTTTTGGCGCAAACAAATATGGAAAATTTTAAAATACAAACCCTTACAGAACCTTTGTCGCTAATTTAATTCCCTACAATTTATTTCGCAGATACTTTGTTGTAAAATTTTCTTATTTACCAACGGGATGACCAAAGTCAAAATATTACTTTTTCTCTTGGAAAAAATTTTTAGATTATTTTCTGAGATAGCCAATCGATTGGAAATTTAATTTTAATCTTGAAACTCTAATTTCATCAAAATGTGTTGAGGCGTTTTGAAATAAGACTGTAACTTGCTAATCGGCATCAAAGGCAGTTTTAGGTGGCATGGCATCCATATTGGTACTTTGTAATTTAAAAAAAACTGTGCACCCCGTGTCAAGGTCGCCGCACGCAAGGACTTGTTTTCGCTTGTTCTGCGCTGCACTTTTTGTTTCTTTCTCACGTACTGGAGAAAAATTCGGTCCGCGTCAGCAACTCAGCAACTTGCCTCCCGCCGCCCCTCTTCGCGTATTCCGATTTCATATTTTTCCTCGTTTGATGCTGCACGATCACGTCCAGACACGAACCAAAGCGTTTCCAGCCACACGATTTTCATTCTCTCCACAAATCGACGCCGAATCTTTGCATTGCATCTTTCGCATTTGGTTGCTTTCCCGACGCAAAAGCGGCTCGTTTTCTTCCAAACGCGTGCATTTGCAGGTCCTCTGAGGTCGTCAGTCTGCACAAACACCTTCGTCCTTTAGCCCTTTTCGTCCGGCAAAGTGGTAAATCGAATTCTCACTGAAATTTATTCAAAAATTATCTCGACACACGTGCTTTAATTTTCCTGAAAAAACTTACATTCTATGCAAATTTGAATCTATGCAGATGAATGATTGATGAGACGACGATTGCCGGCGTTGATGGGCTCAGTTGCGAGCGACCTGAAGTACAAAAGCGAGAAGCGACGCCTTAACCTGCGGAGAGACCTTCTGAAGGGCGAACTGAATCGCCTCCTGCGAGATCTGCAAGGGCTTGGCGTGCACACGGACGGGCCGATGGATGACGACGTCGTTGCAGTTTTTGTGAGACTAATTTTAATAAATGAGAATTTAAAATGGATTTGGAAAAATTCGTAGGAGCAGAAAAAATGCAGTGTGCTCCAAGTTCGGAGCGACGGGGTGCTCTTGTCGGGCGGGATTCGCCTCGACCTGGACCCTGCGCTCAACCTGAAGGAAGGTGACACGGTCCAAGTAGTCAAAACTCATGACCACAACAGTCCATGGACGGTGACAGACGTCAACACCCTGGTAAATAAGAGGATTTAATTGATTTTTTTTTTTAAATCTAAATAAATTGTATAAATAAGGAATTGCTGGTGGGCGAGAAAACTATTAAATCGTTCAAATCGGCGCTCGTCAGTGAGGAAGAAGAGGGTCAGGTGGTTTCCTGTGCCAACTCCACCCTGATCTTGGACCCAGGAAGAGTGACTGTAGACTTGAAGCAAATTAAATGTTCCTTTACTCCTGCAGAAGGTACTTGAACGTAATTTTTGCTTTTAATTTTTAAATTTAATTTTTTGCGCAGGAGATTTGGTTTTGGTCACGAAGCAGGAGGACAAGGTGGTTGCACTGAGTCCTCTGGCGAGTGAAGTTTTCGACGCAACGGTCGCCTTCACGGACAGTTTCACAGGCCTCCTCCAGAGGAAGGACGGAGACGTTGTCCGGTTCAGCTACTTGGCCTGCGAAACACACTACATGCCTCGAAAGGGGGACCAAGTGTGCGCTGAGGCCATTCGGTGCCACTCTGGTATTTTTACAATCTTATTTTTTTAAATGAGACAGAAAAATTTAATTGTGTCTGTGCAAATATGCAGAGGATAAAGTTCGCTGGAGGGCGCTGAAAATGGTGCTGCTGGCCTTGGCAGTGGCAGAGCCAAGTTCCAACCCTGAAGTGGAGGAACTTCTGCAGGAATCCAACATAATTTCCACTGGCACACATTTCAACTGTGGAACCATCAAACTCGGCTCCAAAGGCAGACTTATGGTATAAAATTATCAAATTATAATTCTAAAATTATATTTTAATTTTCCAGCCAATTTTGGCAAACATCAGTGATGAAAGCCACTGCCTTACCAACATCTACCCATACAAGAAGGTGTCTCCGAATCCGCAGTTCAAATTGGTCACGGAAATCAACTTTCCTAAAATCCTGCTGCCTGGAGAGACCTTTGTGGTTTCCTTTGAGTGCCACCCTCAGGAGGAAGGTTCCTGGAGGGACATGTTTGTCTTTGACTTTGACAAGGGGAAATTCCAGCTGGGCCGCTTCTTTGCAGTCGAAGTGCAGTCCGGCCAGAACTCATTGGGCGATCAGTACAAGTGAGAGAATTAAATTGAAAGCAATTTGCATTTTCATTTTGTTTAATTGATTCAGGAGAAATGGTGCAGCAGGAGGGAGTAAAGCTGACTTTGCAGGACCCCTGGTGAAATCGAACCGCAAAAAGCAAGACACAAACCCCTTTCGGCGCCGTGTACAGAAGTACATTCTGCCTGAAAACATTAAGAACATTGTCGAGAGCTTGGTCGACTCCAGCAAAGACAGGGTGCTCGTGACCCTGAAGGAGAAGTTCCCCTTCCTCATGGAAGAGGTTGACACTTTCAATTACGTGCAAAGGTTGGTTAATTCAATAAGTTTTATTATGTATAAAATAAATTTGTGCGTATATTTTTTTTTTCAAGATTCACACTTTTGCTGCACCTTGAGGAGGCTGAGGCGGAGAGAGGGATGCAAAGGTGGAATTTGTCAGGCTCCTCTCTAGAAAAAGACCAGGACAGAGACAGTTATTCTGTCAATGTTCCTAATTTGACTGAAAGACGACCCTCAATCCTTTTCGGCGATTCAGTTCATGTGAAAAATGTTAGAGGAGGTAATTTTGTCTTAAATATATTTTCTATTTTTGTGCTTAACATTTTCCTATATATAATTTAGGACCTGTTTATGAAGGCATTGTGGAAGACACTTTGCAAGGAAAAGTCCGCTTCAGGCTCAACTCATCTTTCTCCCCAATCTCTAGCACTGAACTGTACAATGTCAAATTCCTCATAAGCCGATCCAACTTCAAATTCCAACATTCGGCTGTGAGTTCGGCCTGGAAGACTTTGGGAGACGAAATCCTTTTTCCCACCGAGATCGAGCCTGCGGAGGAAGTGCAGGTAAAATCATGTCTCTTAAAAAATCACATTTTTATTTCTTAAAACTCTTGTTTATCAGGTGCGAAAGGAAAAGTATCCCAACGTGATGTTCTTTCCTCCGAACGACGAAACCAGCAGCAATGGTGACAATCAGACACAAGCTTCAATGCGAAAGGTAGTGTGTTTTGTAAATTTTTTTATGATTAAAATATAAAATTTGTTGTTCCATTCAAAAGAGGAATGGGGGCTGGTACAACCCTTACCTCAACCCTTCGCAAAGAGCTGCAGTGACAAACATTTTGACCGGAGAAGCTCGTCCGATGCCGCACATCATTTTCGGCCCACCTGGCACTGGCAAGACCGTGACTGTGGTCGAGACCATCCTGCAGATCTACAAACTCGTCTCGCCCTGCAGGCAAATAAGACATAATGAAATTTAAAACAAAAAACTAATTTACTGATACGGTATCTTTAGGATCCTGGTGGCCACCCCTAGCAACAGCGCCGCAGACCTGGTGACGGAGCTGCTTGTCCGAGCCCACCCCACATTCAGGCCAATTGTTTTGGCAAGACTGGTTGCGTTCAGCTACCGTAAAGTGCCGGCTTACTTGCAGAAGTACTCGGTTCTCTTGAAACAGGACAATAACATTGAGGTGGATCTGAGCTTGAACAAAATCACCATTGGCACCTGCTCTGCTGTGGGCCGCCTCTGCCTTTTAAACAAGTGTCCGTACTACACCCACGTCATTGTGAGTATCAAAAAATCAATATTTATGAGCAATTTTTTGTATTAAAAGAATTTAATCGCGCTCGTGTTTGATAGAAGATGGAAATTTATAATTTTTTATTCTTAATTTAATTCTATAGATCGATGAATCTGGCCAGGCCTCTGAACCTGAGACAATGTGCGCTGTGGCCCTGATGGGCAAACCGCGCCAAATTGTGTTGGCCGGCGACCCAAAGCAGTTGGGTCCTGTCATCATGGGCAGGATTGCCTCGCAAGGAGGACTGGACGTCTCCTGGCTGTCTCGACTTCTCATGTCTCCCCTGTACTCCAGGTAGACTATTTTAATAATATAAAACCAGCAGAATATTAGGATGAATTACATTAAAATTGCAGAGACATGGCCAAGTTTCCTGCAACCCAGGGCTACGACCCCCGCCTGGTTACGATGTTAACCAGAAATTACAGAACTGTGCCTGAAATCCTCAACGTGGCCTCTCGACTCTTCTACAACAATCAGTTGGTAGGTTCAAAGTCAAGTGTGAATTATGATTAATTTTAAGACAGAAAGTTAGTGCAAGAAAATATGAGATTGGAAATAATAATTAGGATTAGCAAAATTAAGTTTTAATGGAGTTTGCATTCTCTATTTATTTTGTTAATAATTTAGTTTTGGATAATTTGAGCATATATTTTAATTGCCATTACAATTATTTGTTACTGTGATTTAGGTGCCCATGGTGTCTCAGGAGAACGGCTGGCCCGCAGAATTACTCAAGTCTGTGGCAAACGAGCTGCCAAGCGGAAGGGGCTCTGGCCCGCCGGCTTTTGTGTTCCACGGCGTCAAAGGCCGCTGTTGCCGAGATGCCGATTCGCCTTCTTGGTACAATCCTGTCGAAGTGAACTATGTGCTAGGTTACGTGAGGAAACTCATTTCCTCTAATGTTAAACCGTGGGACATTGGCATCATCACGTTCTACGCAAAGCAGGTATGTCAGCCATGAAGAAAAACAATTTTTTTACTCAATTCACAAGTTTCGTAAACATTGGTTCTTACGAATTTTTGTATCCTTTCAATCCCGGCGACAAAAGAATTTTAAGAATCAACTTCGTTTTCCTATTATAAAATTGCTGGTTCCTGACTACTAATTTTCATTTTTATAACACCAATTTTTTTGCACCTAGTTTGTGCATTTAGGATTGAACAGATACAATCACTCTATGATAGGTTTCGATTTACACAATTGGTAAATTCTCAAAATTTTCAGACTGCCAAAGTGCGAGAGATGCTGCGCTCATTCAACATCTCTGACCTGAAGGTGGGGTCCGTGGAGGAGTTCCAGGGCCAGGAAAGGAATGTGATGATTCTGTCAACGGTTCGCGTCCTGGCCATGGATGACGACAGCATGGGCTTCATCAGCAGCCCCCGCAGAATCAACGTGGCAATCACTCGTGCCAAGGCGTTGCTGATCATCGTGGGGGACCCGCACCTGCTGAGGAACGACCCCAACTGGGACTCAATTCTTTTGGACTGCATCTCCAGGAACGCATACACAGGCTGCGACCTGCCCATCACTGGAAACGCTGGCCAACGCCACAATAACCAGGCCCGGTGGTAAAACTTTTGGTTTGAAAATGAAGACTACTCATCTTGATTTAATCCTATTTAATTGTAAGGCTATCAATTTGAAGCAAACTTGGTACACAATAAACGCTAGATAAATTAAAAGAGCTTGATTATTTCACGCTTCCATCTGTTCCTCTTCTGTGAGTTCCGAGGTGATGTTGATCCACTGTGGCGTGTCGTCGCCCTCGAGTCTGATCTGCACAAGTTGCACGTTGCTGCCGTCCTTGACCTCCTCGGCCGAGTGCAGGATGATGGCCCGAGGACCGTCCCCGCTCACTTCCACAGTCCCTCCCTCCGCAAACTGCATTGGCGTCTCGATCAGAATGGTTTCGACAGCCTCCTCAATGCCATCCGCATCCTAGATTCACAGATTTTGGTTCGAATTTTATTTTTGTGAACAAAAAAAAAGGGTGTTTGGTACCTGAGTGGTGATGTAGACCTTGTCTCCGGAAATTCCAGCCGCTGCCGCAGCTTCGTGGACCATGGTGCTGGCACCTTGAGGCACTTGCGGCTGGTTGACCACAATGGTGTCGTGGACGTGGCCCTGCGACTGCATGTGGCTGTACAACAGGGGCTTGCGCATGAAGCCCATTCCGCACACCAGACACTCGTACGGCTTCTTGTTCGAGTGGATGAAGCGGTGAGCGTTTCGATTGTCCCGCGAGTTGAACGCTTTCCCGCAAACCTGCAATTCATTGATCGGATCAATTAAACTTGAGGGAAATTTAAGCTGAATAAATATATACTTCGCAGCGGAAGGGTTTCTCGCCGGTGTGGATTCTTTTGTGCTTCTTGAAGTGCTCCGGATAAACGAAGGTGGCGTTGCACTCTTCGCACTGGTACGGCCGCTCCCCTGTGTGCACCGAGCGCATGTGATAATCCAGGAGCCTCCGCCGCTTGAAGCTCTTGTCTGAAGAGAAAAATTTTTTTACTAGGAATTTTGAAAAAATAAGTATATAAATTTATTTTAAACAAATTAAAAATATTTTTAGAACAAACTTAACAAGTTAAAATTTGAAGAAAATTATTCTATCTTGTGTTTAGTATGAAATTGTGTCTTAAAAATAATTTTTCATTAAAAAATATCAATTTGAAAAAATTAGTTTGAAAGTATTAATTAAGAAACTAATTCCTATCAAAATAACATCACAGCCCACAATCGAAACATTAATATTAAAAAATACATCTATAAAATGACACAACACAGATTTTTTAATTTAGAATATCGGTTAATTTTCAATTTACTGCATTCTGGGCAGACGAATCTGCGGTCGTCGAGGTGAGTGGCCCTCTTGTGGCTCTGCAGGTTTGACCTTTGGCTGAAGGTGGCGCCGCAGGTCTCGCACTGGAAGGGTCGCTCGCCGGTGTGGATCCTTTCATGGTCCAAGATTTCGGCCCTTCTTGCAAACGCCTTCCCGCACGTTCGGCACACAAAGGGTTTGTAGCCGGTGTGCACAACAGCGTGCACCTCCAGGTTGCGCGCACTCGCGAACCCTTTGCCGCATGTTTGGCACAGGTAGTCCTGAAACCAACCTTTACATTCAGATTCAATTTCTTGAATCAAACAACTTGCCTTTTTGGCTGTGTGGGTGCGAACATGCTGGGCCAAGTGCTCCGGTTTCATAAAATTCTTGGGGCAGTTATCGCACTGGTAAGGCCGAGGGCGCACCTGGTGCGTCTTCAGGTGCACCTTGAGGCAGTACTTGGATGCAAAGGTCTTTGCACATGTGCTGCACTCGAATGGCCGCTGCCCGTCGTGAGATATAACATGCTCGGTGAGAAGCATTTTAGAAGAAAACCTGGAATTTTATCATTAATTTAGCAATACAGGTGATTTTTTTATTAATCTGACTCCCAATTTAGATAATAATAATTGTCATTTTAAAATATTGAAAAGAAAAAAGTTCTAATTCTACAATTCAGTCAATTTGCTGGTATTGTCCTCTTTTCAATTTTAATAAATTTATGAGAAAATAAAATTATGTTTAAAATTCATTTGCCTGTGTTTTAGCAACTTTTTTTTAATCCAAATTAGAAAGGACGGAGATTAACCTTTTGTGGCAGATGTCACATGCGAAGTGACGGCCGTAGTGCACTTTTTTGTGGTCCTTCAATAAACGCATTGTGTTGAAAAGCTTGTTACACAATTCGCACTGGAAATCGCCTTCAGCGTCAAGCTCAGCGTCATACTCTGGGTTCTGAAGACAATAAATTCATTTCATATAAACAATTAAAACCAAAAGTTACAAAATGAAAATTTTTGAAAATGATTACGCTTTCTTCGTCGCACTCTTCTGGCGGATGAGCCTCTTTCTGGTGCTCTTCGAGTGCCTCTGCATTTTCATAATCGCCACCACAAAACGGGCACATGTAAACAATTATGTCGTGGGTTTTCTTCAAGTGGTTTATCAATTTCTGGATCTCTGTGAATTTCAATTCGCAGGCCGAGCAATTCAGCAGAGCCGACGGCTCCTCAACCTCATCCTGATCAAAACCAGAATAATTCAAATGAAAATTAATTGAGTTAACAAACCTCTTCCTCCTCCTCGATGGTATCGTCAATGCCCAAATCGCTGTCTCGGGGTCTGCCCCTTTTCTTGATGGGGCCTCCTGCCCTCTTGCTGGCCACTTTAATGACACGGGCCTTTAATTTATAAAATAATTCATGATTTATGTACGATTTTTCTCTTAAAGGCTCACTCTCGATTTCTTGGCCAGAGGTTCGGTGCTCTCGGCCTGGGAGGAATCAAAGTCAGGGTCACTGTCGTTGCCCAGGTCTGCCATAGCCTCCTCATCGTCCTCCTCGTCAGAGGCAACCCGGACAATAATCTGCTTCTCCTCGCCCTTCTTTTCTTCACCGTGAATTTCCTCCAACCGCTTCATTAACTACAAAACATTGTTATTAGCGGTTGTTATTAGTACCACCAGAATACAAAGATTGAGGACATTGGCAAATTTTCTTATCGCTGAATAATAAAGACAAAATTTCTACCCAGGAAGTTATTTATCATCATAACTGAAGTGGGGAGTCAGATTACTGGTCAGAAGTACAATTTTGTAGCATTAATTTAATTTAGATACTTAAGATTCAGGACCAATATCTGTGCGTGAACCTTTGGCAAACTCAGGTTTGAAGTTTTTAGGGGTGCAATTTTTTATCCTGATAAGATTTGCTCCATTTTGTGAGTATAAATTATGTTATTTAAAAAGTAAATTAGTATCACAGAAAATTCAATAAATTCTAATTGAATAAATTGAACTGTCATCTTTTTCTTTAAAATTGTAGCAAAATTTCAATCTCTAATCACATTCAGCAAAAAGTTTACATTTGTCCCTGTTTAAAGACAAAATTACATTGTCCGAGTCCGTATCCTTTCTTGCTGCTAGGGTGTACGCCTTTTTGGGCGGTCGACCCCTCGACTTCTTTGGCGGCTCGATTGATTTCTCCGCAACAACCCCTTCCTCCGCCTGCTTAAGGAATTTTGTTAAAAACTCAAGTTGAATTATTAAATTAATCAAACCTCCGCCGCCTCCTGCTTGATGAAAATGGAAATTTTGCCACTCTTGCCCTTGGTGACCGGCAGCACTTGGTCGTCGGCCGGAGGCAACTCGCCGTTCTTCAGCATGGCCTCGGTCTTTTTGAACTTGCCGACAACCTCCTCCTTCATGTCGTTGAGCTGCGTCTCCACCTCGTCTATGCTCAGCAGCATTTTGTGGCACGCCTTGCACAAATTCTGAACCACATTTGATCAGTTTTATTTTCTCAAGAGGCACAATTTGACCCTTACCGAGGTCGGGACCTGCTCCTCGGCCAAGTCCTGCTCCAGAATGTTTCCCAGACACTTGTGCAGCAGTTGGTTGCTCGAAGTGGTCGTCACTTGGAACATGTTGGTGGACGAGCGCGCCGACGAACCCACCCTTTTGCCACAGATGTAGCACCACAGGGTGCCTGGCATGGTGATGGTACTCTCACCCTCCGCCAGCTCCATGTCTGCAAATCCAATTCAATGTCAATGCAAAATTTATGCACAGAAAAAATCAAATATTTTATAACACTTATTTATAACTATTGTAAATTTTAATAAATTAATTGTTAAACAAATAGAATAATTACATAAATTCTCTAATTTTTTTCCTAAATTTTTAATACTTTTAATAAAAGGGATCAATTTCATTACAATATTGATTGAAAACAACATCCGAATCAATTATCACGTAGGTAGGCAATGAAACCGGCCCTTGTGAGAGCCGGCGGGTCTCGAAATAGGCGGGAACGGCGGCTTCGTTCGTTCGGGTTGGTCTTCGAATGGCATCGTTCGGCCTGCATTAGAGCCGTCGGCCGAGAGTGGAGGCGATTTGCGGCCGAATTCTGCCGTCCGTCGCCGCTCTTGATCGCCGACTCGGAGCGACGAAAAGTTACGGACGGTTCGTCGAGATATTCCGTACCTGATAATGGTGGCAGTAAGAAAATATGCCGAATAAAACTGCCTTTTAGTTGCCAGCCCTGTGCTTCATAATGGCGGACCAACGCCTCTGGGAAAAAAGGGGGCCCTTCAACGCCTTGGCTTCAACGCCTCCCGACACTGCGTTTTGGCGCATCGCGCGCATGCGTCACGCCACATTTGAACGGTTGGCGCGGCAAATAAACGAGACTCGAAAGGAATCTCGGAGATTATTATGGGTTCGATTCCCACTCCAGGCGGATTTTTTTCGGGGGATTTCTCGTCCTGCAGGGACTGCAAGTGAAGGGTTGATTTTTTTTGAGTCGGCCGGGGGCTGCAGAATTTCTTTTTGAGAAGGGTGCGCTTTGGATCCCAGTTGAAGGCAGAAGCGTTTTTAATACATTAAAAATTTATCCTTTTAAAAGGAATAACAAAAATTAAAACAGCTGCAAATATTTTTGCGCTTAAGAATTGTGAAGAATGTCATTCTTTTTTAACTTAAAAGATGAATATGAAGTCTGAAGTCTCAAAAATTTGGTAGTGTAAAGAATTATTAATCAATATTATAAAAAATGTAAAATTTAATGACATTCGATAACATTAATGGGAAAAAAATAAACTTTTGTTTTATTTTTAGGTTCTGAGACGGAATTAAATTTTTAATTCATTTTCCAGATATATTTCTGAAAGCAATTAACTTAATTATGCTGTATTTAGTTATTTTTTTCATACATTATAATTTTAAAAGAATTAATCAAAAATAATATCTAAATTTTTCAAAGCAACATCAACACAAATTAAAGTTGAAATATTCTAAAATAATCCTAGGAAACGGTTCTATAATTATTATCTTTAATTGTAATTGGCAAAACAAGAGAGTTTCAGTCAGTGCAAGCTCAGTCATATTTTTTTTTAGCAAATTAAAGCAGAAAAATTGATAAATAATAAAGATTCTATCGCCAGTTTTGACTTTATTCTTTTGAAACCTTTTTGTCAGAATTTTTAAAAATATCAATAATTATTTAAAATTACACAACCTAGGTTCGAGGAAGTTCAAACAGTTTTTTATTTAAAAAAAGACGTTATAGATCTTTTTAAGTCATAATAATAATATATCTTAAAAACCTGCATTTACTTTTCAAATTCAAGTAAGGATGTGTCTAGAAAATAATTCAATATTCAATAGGATATAATTATATTAGACAGAAAGTAAAAACTACCATTTGTTTTTTATATTTTAAATTTAAATTTCATAATTTATTAACATACGTTTTGTTAGTTTAATTTCGCAGTTTACACATCGATTTATGCGAATCATAGACAAAATAAACAATAAAATTTGTGCTGCCTAAACATAGAAATAAAAAGTATTGAAAAAATATTGCAACGCATAAATATACAGGTTTGATCTAAACAACATAATTGGAAACATATTCGATCAATCGTCAATAGGCGTTGAAAAAGAACCTTTGTTTTGCAAAGCCATTACTCAAAGGAAGACTATCATACATGTACCTCACCAATACGTTAGTGCATATTATAGCTTTAATGATAATTTATACAAGAGAGAGAGAGAGAGAGAGAGAGAGAGATAATCTACTTGCCAATGATTGGACCAATACGATAACAAGATCTTCTCCTCCAATATAACAATAATTTTGCATTTTTAACGCGCACAAGCATAAATCTTTGTTAATCATGCCGAGAGATACAACATTTAAAAATACAATTAATATATGCACATTGATATCGAGAGAAAATGGCAATAATTGTAAGTTTTAAAAGTGGGGTTTTGAAATCTCGTTGAGTGAAATATAACAGTGCTGCAGAAAGAAACAGTTTGTTCGAATTTCCCACAAATTTGATCGCCGGTTCGAGGATTATTATTTTCATAAACAACGAATTTTTTTTGTTTAACAGTCTTGACTCAAGATTTGTGTTGCAGATCAGAATTGTCTACTGCTGTGGTTGGACGAAGGAGAAGTGACGTTAGAGGACTCGCCCTGGGGGTGCGAGGTCAGCGACTGCTGCAGGGCCATCGGGGTCAGCCACTCGCGCGGCAGGCAACGCTGGAGGAAGGGCACGCACGAGCTGAAGTAAGCCAGCCGGTTCACCCAGCTCGGGATCGGCTCCCCGCACAGCGTCTGCAAAATTACAGATTAGGTCACAATTTATTTCAATTGAAACTGAACTTGTTGCTTAAGGACGATAGAGTCGAGTTCGAAATTTAAAAAAAAAAAAATAATGCTTTTATTTAAACTGATTTTACTGCAATCTTTTAATTAATACTGAAGACTTTGATTCAATTGTTAATTGAAATCAGAAAGTGGCCAGATAAGATAAAATTAACCTAATTTTTTTCCAATTGACATTTTTCAAAGTATGTATAAATTCCTTATTCTTTTTTTTTCAAATATTTTCAAATCTACATTAATTAATTAACTAAACTCCATGCATTCTACACTATTTTCAATTTTTTTTCCTCCTGATGTTTTACTTGAACTAGAGAGCCGGAGAAGTGGTTGCAGTTTTTGCTCATGAGGTGGTAGCGGTCGCCTCGGAAGTCTTTGCCCATCTCCACCACTATCCTTTTAACGTCCTCCTCCGTAAAGTCGGTGAATCCGAGATGCATGCTTTGCCTGCCATCAAAAGTTGCAAAAAATGCATAATTTAAATTGACGAATCAGGTTCATAACTACCTGAACCTGAACTGCTCTCCTAATTCGTCTGCGTCCCTCGGGACGATTTCGAACACGCCGGAAAAGGGAAACGGGTGGCCGCCGTAAGCGAATTCTGTCAAAGGAGAAAAGCCAATTATTTTAACGATAAAACGAGGAAGAAATTCTCACCCGTCCCGTAAATCTCCACGCCCGAGTGATAAACGCCGAGGCCTAAATTGGTCGTGTACTCGTTTGTCCAGTACTGCAAGCAAAAAAAAAAAAAAAATTAGTTTTTGATGGTTTCTGGGCAAATCCGAGAGACGCGTCACCATGTCGTAGACGTTGAGGACGACTGGTTCTCGAGCCATGTTGGCGGCGTGTGCCTCGAAGAGCTCGTCCCGGTCGGCCGTGTAGCCCAGGCAGCTGGGGAAGGGCAGTCTGCACGACGAGGAGCCGCGCCTGGAAAACATCATCGGCACCTGAGAATGCAGTGTCCCTGCAGCAGTCCCAAGTGTCTACCAAAGAGTCGAGTATAGCGAGTGGCCGAGTCTAGCGAGGCATTACGCGGCTATGGCGACTCACGATCGGGCCGATTCCTCGCAAGGGCCACGCAACTCAGGGCGATGTGAAATTCCAGCTGATCCGCAAAAACGGAACGGAAAAAACTTGAGGAGGAAAACCGACTGATTTTGTGTGTTTGTGCCAATTGGTTTGTGCCAAGAACCAAGAAGTATAAGTGCGGCGAGCAGAGCCACCTGGCGAGTGTTTGCCAAGTGGTTGCGGCCGCGGCCGTCTGATGGCGCCACCGTGCAAAAGGACCATTGGAGGGAGGGGGGACGGACGGATGCGATTGAAAGGGCTTTGTGTTCTTTTAGCACTTTCGGCGGCCGTCAGTGCGAATTGCCACGAAATGCGAGGACCGATCGCCTGAGTTCGGACACTCGGACGCACGCCATGCCCCTCCTCAAGAGCCGGCCGACCTTGTGAGACTGCCGTGAATTCAAAGAAGACGGATTTATTCTCCATTAACGAGGAAGCGCCTCCACTTCTTCGGACACTGTCCGGCGTCTCGGACAAGCAGAGCAGTGCGGAGACGAAGAAAGGTCGTGTCCGAAAGGAAACAGCCACATGTGTAAATGACCGACCGGTGTGGATTATGGAAGATCCGTGGGACGCGCCTCTCAGCTGGGAGGAATTTTTCGGTGAGTCACAATTTTTTTTTACTAAAAAAAGTAAAATAAAAAATTATTATTAAATTGGCAGCGTTATTTTCGCGAAATTAATTGGAAAACTAATTACTGTTGAATAATAAATTTTTTCCTATTTGGTGGAAATTATTTAAAAAAAAATTTTGCGCATATTTTTGCAATTCCGAGAGACAATGGTGCGTGTCGAAATTGAAGAACCTGTTCGAAGCACCTGATGTGTTTCCATTATTCTTTTTTTCCACTCGCTGCTTCACCCCTTTTCACGGACGAAAAGAAACGAGCAAAACCGGTTCGAAAACAATTCATTCCAAGGGATTTTTTTTTAAATTTGAACGAATTTTGGCGATTTGCAGGCGTTGAAAGTCCCAAGCGACTTTGTATTCGCGGAACCGCCTCTGCACCCATCACGAGAGAGTTATCGACTTGTAATTAGTAATTAAGTTTTTGTCCCGAGATCTGCTGCCAGAATATTCACGAGAGAGCGAAAAGAGACGATTTCATCTGCCGAGATCTAATTAATTTGTATGTCCTGACATGTATATTTATAATCTTCAATCCTGCTTTCCCAAGAAACGTTTGCAAAGATAAAAAAAAATAATAAATCAGGAAAGGATCCTTTTTTTATACAAAAATTGCTTATTTTTGTTATAAGAACAATATAGAATATCTAAAAATAAACCAAATTTGAACTGTTTTTATATTTTTTTTTTTGCAAATCTCAAATTTTTCACAGCTGGAATATTTCTAGAGATTTAAAAATTTCAAATAAAATTTGATCATATTTTTTTATTTCAAAAATAATAATATATTTTAAAAATGTGATTTTAGATAACCATTTTTTTCCATTACAATTGTGTGCAAATAAGGCCATCAAGTTGAAGTACAAGTCTCAATAAAATTGCTGGTCTGCATAAAAAAGGCGAAAATTGCTGACGGCGGCGAAACAAATTAACACTTTGAGGAAATCATTATATATTTGCATTTATAATTTCAAAAAACTGCTCAAAAACTGGACGACCTTCAATTTATACAAAAGAAATCCCAAATCGATACTTTGCTCGTAATTATACATTTCACACCTTCATGTGATTAATTTAAAAAAAAATGTGTGTAGAGCAATTTGGCCGCGTGTCAAGACACGTTATTAAGAAATCAACGCGGTGATCAATTTCGTTTTTCATATTGAAAGTTTTTGGATCGCATCCAAGTAAGACAGAAGAGAGCAATTCAAAATTAATTATTTTTATTCAGAATTAATTCCAAGAAAATTTAAAACTCAAAAACCAAATTATAAAATTCTTAATATTGTTGAAAGCTTCCTTGAACCATTTTAATTTTGCACATTTAAAATTAAAAATTTAAAATAAAAATTCATTCATATGGAATTTTATTTTGTATATAATGAAAAATTCTTCGTTTTGGGGATAACAATTAATTTTGCTTACAGTTGCGTGACTTTGATTTTTCCTCAACCCTTTTACATTACATTTCACGTTTACTTTACAGACCAATTATTTGTAAAAAGAAAAATTCTCTCAGGTTTTGTGAGGAAATTACAATTGCTATTGAATTATTGCCACCGATTTTTAATAAATTTCATCCGAATGTTGAATTGAGTAAGTTGAATGAAACAAAAGTATTTAACTTTTATTTGCACCTGTTTGAGAAGGAACGAAAGAAGCTGGCGGCGGCGCCGTTCTTTTGTGATGTAACCTGCGCGCATATTCACCTTCAGACGCGGTAATAATCAGAAAGGGCGCGCGACACATGTGCGCGCACCTGAAACCGAAACCGGCCATTTCTCGCCAGCGGATTTCGCACGCGCCTCTGCGAATCCTCCGTGGGCACCGAATCAACCGAAATTTTGAACATTTCGGCCCAGTTGCAAATTTCCAAAACGGCAAAGTCGTGGTTTTCGCGAATTAGTCAAAATTGGCCGAGTTGTGCAATTTCCCCTCCCCAGCAACTGCTTCTACAATTTCAAATAAAATGCTTCACTTTTCAAGAAAGAAACCTGACATTTTCGTCGCAATTCTTCCTGCACAAAACGAGGAAACGCGACTCTTTTTAACAATTTAATAAATTACACTGTATGTATTTTTTTCCAATTTTTTTTTTTTTTAATTTAAAAGTTTCAATTGATTTGAATATTTCTGTTGACTTTTGAAATCATTATTTTCACCTTTTATTTATTAGAAGAAAAGTTTGAACTATTTTCCCACAAAAAGGCCCAAAAAACCTTGTTTTTGAACCTTCGACTCTGAATATCATGAAAAGTAGTAAACATTTTTCTCTTCATTTTTAGTGTGCTGTTGTGAACAACTCAATTACGCAACTTTTGGCTCTTTTCAAATTTGAGAAAATTGCTTTCCAGCTACTTTGGCAGAATAATTAAATATTCAGGTTCCGAAAGGTGACCTTGACCTTTGACCTACGACTTCGGTCACTGTTGCAAAGTTGTCTAATTCCTGAAAACTTTTGTAATTAAAACAATTGCGCTATCTTTAACAGGAGTTGAGATATTTTCAAAATCACCTTTTAAAAAAAATGCCAAAATTTGAACCCCTGCAAAATATTCAATTTTTAGAATTGTCAATATCTTTTGTCTAAGCACTAATAGAAACCAACCTGCAAATTATTGTTAAAATCAATTGAACCTGGCCCAAGATTGAGAGATTATGAAATAAATTTAAAATTACTTTTAAATTTATTCGTTTGAATGGAAAAATTTCGCGAGTTTATAATTTGGAAACTTTTTATGAAATATGAAATTATTATCTATAGAAAAGTTACAAACTTTTATCCAAATTATATAATTGAATTAACTTATAAGGCGAAGTCTCACCCTTTGCCTTTTACTCTCTCTGCAGGCTCAAATTTCACGTTTCTTTACACGTCGGGATTAATATAACTGGCAGAGATCGTGAGCACGTCTTTCATACTCTCTCGTCCCGTTATAAATTGAAAAGAAGCTTTTTTCCACTCGCGCCAGATGTGGAGAATATAAAAAGTCAAAAAGCGCCGCCGATTTTTCCTTTTGGCCGCGCGCACGTGTTTTCTATTCGATTCGAAAACATCTTGTAAAATGTTAAAAAAAAAAGGAGCCAAAGTTGTTGTAGAGCCTCAAATGAAAATGTTCCGAGTTGTAAATCTCTTTTTACAGGAAGAAAATGACTCAAGAGGGTTGTTTGTTTGTTCCTCCCCCGCACAACAATAGCGACCTTTTCTCCCCCTGGCCAGATCAGGGTTTGACAGTTCCAGGAAAATAGTAAATAAATAATCCGGCCAGCAGGATTAGAGTTGAAATTGCGAGCCCGTCTTTTTTTTCTCAATTTTGTTTGCAGACAGGAATGTTTTCAGGCCGGTCTGACCGCTTCCCTAAAAGGTCCCTTCGGCTTTTCAGCAGCCCACTCTGCGCCGATGCCATTTTTGTTTTTTCGCGCAAATAACAAAGCCAATCAAATGCGCGCACTTTGTACTTTTAATGAGAGAGACAATTCTTTTCAAAACAAAAACAAACTTGCAGGCGAAACGGGTTCTTTTGTTCGAAGCAGGAAAATCACTCTCGACCGGCAGAGACGACAGACCGATTTTTGTTGCACATAAGTGAAATTATAACAAGACATTTATACCATCATTATTTTCAAATTTGTCAAGTATTGCAACAAACTACATTATGGGCAGCAAAATTTGGTTTTAAAATATGGGGAAAAGCGTTTAATTCCAAAGTAAAAAAGCTGAAACTATAATTAAAATAAAATAATTATAGTCTTTACACTGATTGTGAGAAAAATATTTACTGAAAAAGGATCAAGGTAAATAAATTTGAGTTCTATTTTTCAACTTGATTCAGATGAAATGAACTTGATTTGATAAAATTCTATCTATTTTAACTATCCAATTTTAAAATAAAATTATTTTAGACTCGGATCAATTTAAATTTTAAAAATTTGGCGCCCTCAATTAATTTAATTTTTCTTTAGAAGTCTTTTTGGCATTTACATTTTCAAATAAAAATTAAAACAATCCGTTTTTAAAATGAAGATTAAATAGGTTGAATGAGTTTTCGTGCATTTCAGAACTTAAAATTCCACACGTGACCCACTTATTTGAATTATTGTGAAATCTAAATATATTCATGATCGATTCAACAAGTTTTTCTCTCTCTTACTTCAAATCAGTTGTCCTCGCCGCCAACATGTGCTAATTGATATTTAAAATCCACACGCCTTTTTATCCAAAATAAAAATAAATTGGTCATTGCCAAAAGTAACGTTTGGATCAACTTATAATTGACGGTCACATGTACGTGTTGCTGCATAAACAGAGAGAAAGTAAATCTTTATACATATTTGAAAGTGAGAGAGATGAATATATAATATTTAAAATGTCGGTGCAGCTTCTGGGTACTGAGTGAGTCGACTGGGAAATCGAATTGAATGCAGCTTGGATTAGAACGAAATAAAAACTGGATCCGGCGATATCTCGGCCGATGGATCTTGCTGCTGCATTAATGAGAAACTGCTTTTCCAGACCGCGCTGCAAACACGGCGTTCGGTTTCGCCAATCAACTCTGAAAATATGTCCAAAACAACAAAACGAAAATAGAGTTGCAGCAGTGAAACTCGATACCCGCCATTCCAAACATCTGTTGCGACTTGCGCTGATAATTAGTCTCTTAAAATAGATGGAACCAATTTTATTTTGGTTTCAATTCCACAATTTTGAATAAAACGCATTGTAAATTATTATTGTTTCATTGCTGCTAAAATTGTTACATCACAATCGTGGAAACTTTCGGGGTTAAAACTTGGCCCTTTTTTTTTACAAGTTTGAAGATATATTTATACATTTAATCATAGATATTGATGAAAATTTCAATAAGTCACGCACAGATGTTTTGTAATTTTCGTGTGAATTATGAATTTCCGTGGGCTGCTTGAATGAAATCGAGACCCCCTCCCGAATAAATCGTCTGCTTTTAAATCGGTGAT